CCAGCTAGAAGGATCTGCCTGAGGCTGTGTCCCCCAGAGGCTGCCAGCCCTGAGCCCTGCGGCCTCCCAGTGGTGCTGGGAGAAGTCACCAAACTGAGGCCACGTTTCCACAAGACTCCCAGGGGAGTCTTGGGGAGCTGAGGGAATGAGGAGGCAGGGCCCAGGTTGCAGTGGGAACGTGTCCCAGGGCTCCCTGCTCTGCGTTGCACAGAGGGGTGGCTGGAATTGGGACCCTGGTTCCATCTGACTGTGGGATTTGGGGCACACTGCTTAATCTAGGTGGTAGTTTTCCCATCTGTAAAATGGAAAGAAGGAAACAACCGACCCCCCAGGGTATTACAAGCTCAACAAAACAATGCACCGAAAGCACTTGGTGCAGTGTCTGCCTGTGGGGAGCCAAGTTCCCCTTCCTGGGCCTTCTGGTGGCCTCCATGTTTATGCAAATTCAAGTCTGTGCGTGGCCCTGGGCAGATGCAGCAGACCCAGCAGAGGGGACAGAGGACAAAAGGGCACAGCGCTGCTCAAGGGCTGAGGGACAGGGGCCCCAGGACTGCAGAGGATGGACAAGTTCAAAAAGAGGGGGATGGCTCTTGAAACTACTTCAGTCCCTTTTCATCAGAGCTGGAGAAACTGAGGCTGAGAGGAGGCAGCAGCTGTTGGTGTTGCCTGAGTATTACTCAGGGTCAGGTTTGGTACCACAGCTTTCCTGAACTCACCCCTGAAAGCAAGTTTGCACCTCTTTGGAAACCAGGTCCCTGAAAGTTCCTAAAAATCTCCTAGAATATAGAACAGAAGGGCAGGACGTGAAGAACTGGTCCAGAAGATACAACATACATTTGAAGGAGCTTACAAAAGAAAGAAAAACAGAAAGCCAACAAACAGAAAGGCAAGGATGTTTCTAGAACTAAAGGGTGTGTTTCCATATTAAAAAGATCCACAGGTCCCCAAAACCAATAATCCAGTGAAGAAATGGGCAAAAGACGTAAATAGACACTTTTCCCAAGAAGACATACAGATGGCCAACAGACACACGAAAAGATGCTCAACATCATCTTAACCGTTAAAAACATTCTTTCTAAGTAATCTCTGCACCCAACACGGGGCTCGAACTCATGCCCCAAGATCAAGAGTCACATGCTCTACCCACTGAGCCACCCAGGCACCCTGTCATCACAGCCATTTTTAAGTGTGCAGTTCAGGAGTGATAGGTACATTCACACTGTTATACATCTAATCTTCAGGACTTTTTCATCTTGCAGAACTGAAATTCGATCCTTGTTAAACAACTCATGCCCCTTCTGGCACTTACCATTTTACCCTCTTTTTCTATGAATTTGATTAGGTCTCATAGAAGTGGAATCGTACCATATTTGACTTTTTGTGACTGACTTATGCCACTTGAGCGTGATGTCCTCAAGGTTCATTCATGTCATAGCATGTGTTAGGATTTCCTTCCTTTTTTAAGGCTGAATAATACTCCACTGTATGCTCACCCATTCATCTGTGGATGGGCACTTGGGTTCCTTCTGCCTCTTGGCTATTATGAACACTGCTGCCATGAACACGGGTCCACAAACATCTATTTGACTCTCTGCTTTCAATTCTTTTGGATATATACGTAGAAGTGGGGCTGCGGGATCATACGGTAACTCTAGTTTTAACATTTTGAGAAAGAGGCAACTTTTCATTTAACCTCTGATGAAAGGAGACAGCAGACTTGGCTGCTCGCCCCAAACCCAGAAGTCACGCAAAAGATCTTGTAGTGTTTGGAGCACCAGGTCTGCCCCCTGCCCCCAGAACTGAGCCCACTTCCTTCCCTCTGCTCATTGGCCTCGCAGGTGCTGCATATAGTCCCTTCCCCAGAGGGGACAGAAGCCTCTGACATACTGAGCAGGTGGTTTGGCTTCCATCCGGTCCCAGTTAGGAAATACTGGGGCAAAAAGCTCTCTGGGCTCAAACCCACTTCCCCAGGGTAGCGGTTGATGGTTTCACTTTCTGGTCTGTTCCTTCCCCAGCTCTCCCCCAAGTTGGGACCTGGCCAGTTCCCAGGCCTGAGGAACTCCTGCCCAGCGCTGCTCAGCTCGCCTCTCCCCCTTCCCTTCCCCCCTCTCCCTTCTGTCCCTCCCTATACCTCTCCCCTATTTTCTCTCCTCTATTCCCCCCTCCACTCTCCCTTCCCCTCCTCTCCTTCCTCCTCCTTTCTCTCCACCCCTCATCCCTCCCACCTTTCTCATCCCCTGCCCCTCCTTATCTTCTTTCCCAACTGGAGGCTGTGAAAGTTCCTTTGGCCCCTGCTTCAAAAGGTCAAGAAGATAAGGCTTGAAGCTGTACTTTCTCATCACATCTGATCATGACTTAGTCCTTCAAAGCTTTGCAACCAGCTGTGCCCTCCTCACTGAGGATACAGGAGATTGAGTATCTTTTTCCAGAAGTGACTCCCCCGCCTTGGGGAAATCTGCAAGGTGGGAGCCTCCCCCCACCCCGGGAGGGCCTCCACAGTGGTCTCAGGGAATCCTTGACAGGGAGCTGTTCATGCTATCCTTATAAACCATGTTCTAGAAAATCTAGAAAACATGGGGCGCCTGGGTGGCTCAGTCAGTTTAGCGTCTGACTCTTGGTTTCGGCTCAGGCGCTCTGTGCTGACAGTGCAGACTCTCTCTCTCCCTCTCTCTCTGCCCCTCCCCTGCTCACTCTCTCTCTCAAAATAAATAAATAAACTTAAAAAAAAATCTAGAAAACAGGGAAAAGACAACAGATGGCTCTTCAAGTCCCTGTGGTCCCCAGTGCTGTGAGCGGTTCTGGTTTCATCTGTGAGTTTTGGGCTCTTGTCGCCACCGAGACCCTGGAGCACGACAGCTTTGGAGCCTATGGGCGGGTGTGTGTCTGTGCAGGTGGGTGCCCTCGACACCCTGGGACTCGTGAGGGAGCCACCTCAGGGCAGCCATAGGTCCATAGCACCAAATGCCTCCTGCCTGCAGGCAGGTTTCCCACCAGCCCCCTGCCCCCCCCTCCCCGCCCCGCCAGCCAACCTGCGATGCGGGTGGACAGGAGTGGACAGCATGACGCTGTGACACCCCCCGCCCGGTGCTGCATTCCCCTCCCGCCCTGTATAGGGCCACTTGGTACCAAGTCCAAGAGCGTCCGCTGCCAGCGCAGCCAGCAGGGCCCAGCCCCCACGCCCCCAGTCACCCTTTGTCCCCTGCTACTGTGATAACAGGAGGCCCGGAGCCATTCATCATCAGATGCCAAAAACTGTGAGAGGCTGTGGCAGAAATGAGGAACTTGGGTTCTGGGTTGTGGCAGGCCCCTCCCCACGCCTCCTTCCCACGACTCCTTGTCCCCCTCCCTGCCTCTCCCACCTCTCCCCTGCATTCGGGCTCCTGCGGGGTCAGACACCCGGCTGGAGCTCCCAGGCTGGGAAGGCACAAAGGGCTGGGGCCATGGCTACCACAGGCCTGGTTTCCAATTCTGGTTCCTCTATTTGCATGCTGTGTGACAGCAAGAAAGACAGTTCCCCACCTTGTGGCTCAGTTGGTTAATCATCCGACTTCAGCTCAGGTCATGATCTCACGGTAAATGGATTCAAGCCCCACATCGGGCTCTGTGCTGACAGCTCAGAGCCTGGAGCCTGTTTCAGATTCTGTATCTCCTCCTCTCTCTGCCCCTTCCCTGCTCACACTCTGTTTCTATCTCTCAAAATTAAATTTAAAATGTTAAAAAAAAAAAGTCTCATTTTCCTAATCTAGAAAGCAGATTATCAAGAGAAGTAAATGAGATATGAGATCTCTGATAAATTTCAGAGGCGCAGGAAGCCCTCAGGAAGCAATTATTGTAATAGATGTTGAGCACTTGGCATGTGCCATGTGCCTATTACACTATCATTTCCACCAATATCTTGGTCCTGCCAGTGCCTCTGCCTTGTACAGAGGGGACTCAGAGAGGTTAAGGAATTTGCCTAAGGTCACACAGCTAAGAAGTGGTAGCACCAGGCTTTGAGCCCAACTCTGTTTTCAAAGAAGCTCATCTTTTTATTCTTCATCTTCTGATGCATTTCTAGGCCAAACTGGGCCAAGCAGAAATCTGTCAGACCTGCTGAAATACATGGGGAAGGGATGAAAAACTGCCATTTTCTCTGGTCTGCAGCGGAAGCTCAGTAGGCAGGGGCTAAAATCCTAACTTCCCCCCAGGGTGCTGGCTGGCTCAGTGGAAGGGCACAAAACTCCTGATCTCAGGGTTGTGCATCTGAGCCCCGCGTTGGGGGTAGAGATTACTTAAATGAATCGATAAAAACTTAGAAAGAAAAAATCCTAGCTTCCCCACTTTCTTGTTACATGATCTCAGGCAGTGCTTTTCTGAGCCTCAGTTTCCTGACCTGTGAAGTGGGAACGATAATGTTTGTCTTGCTTGCTTATAGGGAGGATTAAGTGAGCATATGTTTGTACTGAGCCTGCTCGGGGTGGGTGCCCACAGGATCACACGTGCCAGTGTTTCTGGAAACATGGAAGTGCCCCTCTCTGTCCCATCTCCTCTGCTTAGCATACCCCACCCTGGGCCCATGACCCCCTGGGCCCTTGTATACCTCTGTGTGCCACTCCTCTCAACCCTTGCAAGGGCCCTTTCCCCTTTTCTTATTGGGTCCACTGGAGGCTCGGCAATCTTTCTCTCAACATGACTGAAACACGCCCTCACAGGCGGTAAACACAAGCATACCATTCAACCCAGAAACTCCACTTCAGGGATCTATGTCAAGGAAATACCTTCCACCCATTCATTCAGTGAGGCATTAATCATAGTGATTTATTGAGCACCTACTGTTTGCCAGGCCCTGTGATATGCTGGGGTTACAACAGGGAGCAAACTGGAGGCACTCTAACCTCTGACCACCAGAAGCCAACTATCCATCTTTAAAAAAAAAAAAAGTTCTAGATTTAAAAAGAAATTTTATTTAAAGTGGGCTCCACACCCAACATGGGGCTCGAGCTCATGACCCCAAGATTAAGAGTCACACGCTTTACCAATTGAACCAGCCAGGTGCCCCCAGAAGCCAACCTTCTAATTGCTGTGAAGACCTGACACAGCTACACAGATGAATACAGAACTGCACATTGTAATGGCAAGGCGGTGCTTCAATGTGTTGGTTGCAATAGGCTTTTGCCCACTACTTTGGTAAGTCCACTTCTGTGCCCAGGAATCTGGAAAAAGACAAAGACAAAGTGAAAGGGGGGACATTTTTAAAATTTTAAAATTTTCTGTGGAGCGTTCTCACTCAGGACCTTACCCCCTTGAAGGTCATGGCTGCACCTGATTTCAGTCGGTCACAGGGTGGGCAGCAGGGTCTGTAAACGTTTATGCAAAGAAAGCAAAAGACAAAAGTAACAGGCAGCCCAGTGGCGAGGACTACTCTGTGACCAGATGGCGGGTTCTAAACGCCCTTCTCCAGTAGAAGGAGCCAGGCTTCCTTTTCCTTTCAGGAAAAAGAGAAATGGCTGCTCTGGCAGGGCTGAGGCAGAAAGAAGGCAAGATGGGCCTGGAGCACCTTGTAGCATGAGGCAGTGAGAAGCGCTCAGAAAGCAGAACGAGGGACAGGCAAAGGGACCCACCCCGTAGCCAACCCCATGGCACTCCCAAAGCAGGAACAATTTGGGCAATACAATAATTTAGTATTAGGTTATAAGTCAAAGTATTAATATCCATGGGTCCATACTGACAGACATAAATGACTGAATAGTTAATTAATTGGGGGTGAAGGGACATATCTTTCTTACAGAGGAATCCCTCATTTATTTGGTTGTTCCTTGTTCTAGGAAGTGGGGCTTAGCTTCCCCCGAGGGTGGGCTGCACTTAGCGACAGGGTTTCCAAAGAAAGAGTATGGAGAGGGAAAAGCCAGCAGCTCTGTAGTGGAGAAACCTGGAAACACCGCCTTCACTAAGCCATCGAGGTTAACATCACAACGAAAAGTCCTGTGCGCATGTCATGTGTGACCCCTCTCCCTGCTCCCCCCCTCCCCAGAGGCCGGGATGAGAAGAGCATTTCATCTTCCTTGGTAGTATCCTCCCCAGAAACCCATAACCCCAGTCAAGTCATGAGGAAAACATCAGAAACAAAAACAAAAACAAAACAGGGACGCCTGGGTGGCTCAGTCGGTTAAGTGTCCAACTCCGCCTCAGGTCATGATCTGACAGTTTAGTGGGTTCGAGCCCCGCGTTGGGCTCTGTGCTGGCCCCTAGCTCTGGAGCCTGTCTTCAGATTCTGTGTCTCCCTCTCTCTCTGACCCTCCCCTGCTCACGCTGTCTCTCTCTCTCTCAGAAATAAATAAAAACATTTTAAAAATTTTAAAAAAATAAAACAAATACAAAACAAAACTGAAGGTTATTCTGCAAAATACCCAGCCAGTTCTCCTCCAGACCAACGAGGTTATAAGAAGAGGGAAAGGTTGAGAAGGGTCACAGACAGGATACACGGTGATAAAAGCAATACAGAATCCTGGGTGTGATTCTGGAACAGAAAAAAGACATTGGAGAAAAAGGAGATAAAATCCAAATACAGTCTACAATTTCGTTAACATTAATGTTGTAATGCTGGTTTCTTAGTTTTGACAAATGCAGCTTGGTAATGTACAGTGGTAGCATGAGGGGAATTTAAAACTGGCTGAGGGATATATGGGAAATCTATTTTTTTTGACTTAAGTGTAAATTACAAAGATGTTTTTTAAAAAATCCTGCACCCAAACAGAATAATGGCAAAGAGGAGAAACATGGCAAAGTGTTAGTAGTAAGTATATTTGGATAGTGGGAAAGAATGTCCTCTTTTTAACTCACAAAATGTCTTTAGTTAGGGTTTATTCCTTTTATTACAGTTAAATAACTGTAATTTTGAAGTTTTACTTATTTAAGTGCTCTCTATACCCCACATGGAGCTCCCACTCACCACCCAGAGACCAAGAGTCACAGGCTCCTCCCACTGAGGCAGCCAAACACCCCTACCCCTTTTATTTTAAACTTTTATTTCTTTTTTCTTTAAAATTTTTAAATGTTTAGTTTTTGAGAACGAGAGAGAGAGAGAGAGAGAGAGAGAGAGAGTAGGGGAGGGGCAGAGAGAGAGGAGACACAGAATCCAAAGCAGACTCCAGGCTCTGAGCTGTCAGCACAGACTGAGTCATCCAGATGCCCCAATTTCTCTCTTTTTTAAGTTTATTTATTTATTTTTGAGAGAGGGTGAAAGCGAGTGGGGGAGGGGCAGAGAGAGAGAGAATCATAAGCAGTCTCTGTACACTCAGCCTAAAGCCAGTTGCCTGGGGAACTCACAGTGAATTGATGACCTAAGCTGAAATCAAGAGTCACATGCTTAACCCACTGAGCCACCCAGGCGCCCCAGAAACTTTTATTATTTCTGAGTATTAGTCTATTTTATAGCGCCAAAAGTGAAATAAAATCGTTTGTTCTCCAGTTGCAGCGCGCGCGTGCACACACACACACACACACACACACACAGTATTTTTCCCAGTATCTAAATACCTGTACCACCAACTAAGAAAAGATTCTTTCCCGTATTTTACAGATGAGGAAACTGAAACTCAGAAGTCAGTGATTTGCTTGAAGTTATATACACTAGGCAAATGGGCTCTCTCCCAAGCAAATCTCTTTCTAGCCCCAGGAAGAATTTTTAGCTAGAAATGTCCAGAGGGAATGAGCGTCTTGGAAAGGTGGTGAGTTCCCCACCAGCGAAGGGACCGTTAGTGTCCCAGAAAGGCGTCCAGGGGACCTGACACTGCCATCTTTCTCCTCAGACCCAAAGGGCAGGGCTGTGGCTCTCCTGCGAAACCCAGAACGACACCAGGCCGGCCACATTTCCTCCTTCTAACTGGGAGGGCGGCGGGGTAGGTGGAGGGCGTCGAGGGCTTCTCCATCTTCTCATCGTCCCCCCTCCACCACGGGGTACATCACAGACGACCTGGGGGAGGTGCGCGGGGACGAGCTTTCCTTTAGTCGGAGCCTGCAGGTGTCAGGGCTGATCTGCACTTTCGCCGTCGTGTCCCCAGCGTGAGAAGCAGGAACGCAGCCCATTTTGGGGGTGGGGAACCCGAGGCCGGCGGAGGGCTCCGGCCCGGTCCCCACGCCCTGCGGCCGAGTGGCTCCGCCCACAGGGGCCAGGCAGGGGCAGGGCGGGGCTGCAGGACCCGGCGGCGGCCACTCAGGAGGCGTCCAGCGAGCCGCGAGGACCATGGAGCCGGTGTCGCTGCAGGACTTTGTTTGCGCCCTGGACCCCGCCTCCCTCCCGCGCGTGCTGCGGATCTGCTCGGGGGTCTACTTCCAGGGTGAGTGGGGGGCCCGGACCTCCTCCGACCCCCGCCCCCGCCGCCGCCTGGCTCTTGCTGGGTGTGGGGCAGGGGCGCTGCCCCGGGCGACAGAAACCCAGGAAACTCAGCCACGCAGCCACTGGCCAAGTCCAAGTGTGACTGGAGGCCACACTCAACCTCTCTGGGCCTCGGCTTTTGCTTTCGTGGAATGGGGGAGCGCGGCTGGCCCCGCAGGGCGATGAGAAGTCACAGACCTTATACACTCGGGTGGGTGGAACCGAGCCAGGCGAGGGGGGCTGGTGAGGTGGGGAGCCCCGGTGCGCACCGGTGGAGGTCTGGCGGTGCGGAAGCGGAAAGTCAAGGCTCCAGCCGGGTCAGCCCTCCGGCGTCCCCTCCCACTCCTCCCCCTTGACGCCCTCGACGCGCCTCCGTCCGTCCCACCCTGGCCCTGGTCTGATCAGCAATTCCGTTCTCAGCTCGCGTAGCTGCTCTTCCCTCCCCATCCTCCCCTGCTCTTGGCTCCTCGAGCCCTTGCACACGTGCCCACCTGGTTCCCAGGGACGGGTGCACAGCGGGGGCCCAGTCACTAGTTACAGCCCGAAAGGGAGAGGGGGGCGGGGTTGACTGGCGGCGGAGGGGAGAGGAAGCTGCTGCGGGGCGAGGCCACCCCCAGAGTGGGGGCGGCGGAGGTGGAGGGAGAGGGAACTGGACGACTGGTTGGAGGGGAGCCTCCTTCCTTAGAAAGCAAACTAGTGCAAGGGTGCCTTGCCTCATCTGTTCCCTCTCTGTTCCCTCGCGCGGCACAGCAGCTCCGGGTGAAGGGTTAGTTCTGCGCCACGCAGGGGAGGGCCGCACGAGCCGCCACTCCCGGGTCCGCTTGAGAATCTGGCGGATGGGGTTCAAATGCCGACTGTTTCTCCGGGGGCTCCCGGCAGGCGCCTCGGGCGGTTTGCGCGCCTCCCGACACCCCCTGACCGCTGCGTGTCGCAAAAGCGGTTTCCTCATCGTGCCGGACCCTGGGCGTGAGAAGAGACGGAAGTCCGGTGACAGAAGAACTAGGGAGGAGGCCAGGTGGCTGGGTCCAGGTCAGGGGCTCCCCGCAGAGGCAGAGGCGAGCCTCCAGGGCCGGATCCCACTTCTGCCCCCATTACCTGATGATCTGGGGCCACCGGCCCAGCCTCCCTCGGGCTCCCTCAGGGGCAGTCGTGAGGCTTTAATGCGCTTCTGCGATCCGGAGCGCAGCGCCCACCGGCCCTCAGGGGCCGTCCCGGAAACTGTAGACAGAACGGTGTTTTGTGAGCCTGTGTGCGTTTTCCTGGGGACATGGGGTGGGATTTTCATCAGTTTCTCTGGGCTGCCGGGGACGCCTAGGAAGTGAGGTGGGTCAGGGGGCCTCTAGGGTGACCTGTCCCTAGTCAGCAAATGGAGCCTCTACACCTTGCTCACGTGAGAGATCATCACCGAGCACCCTCTGTGTTCAGGACGCTGCTTTAAACACTCAAAAATAGGAAAGTGAGGCTGCTGTGCTTGAAGGTGGCCGTCCAGACACCTGCCTACCGCGTGCGCCCTGTCAGTGGCTCGGTGGCCCCCTGGATTTTCTCTCCTGTGCTTCCTTTAAACTTTTTTTTTTTTTTTTTTAGAGGGGCAGGGGTGCAAATGAGCAAGGAGCACAGAGAGATAGAGAGAGAATTCCACAAGGAGCAGGGAGAGAGAGAAGCGGGGCTCACCCAAAGTGCAGCTGGTGTTTTTACTGAAGCGGGACTCAAACTCACAAATGGTGAGGTTGTGACCTGAGCCAAAGGCAGATGCTTAACCTACTGAGCCACCCGGGGATCTGTAAACTTTTTTTTTTTTTAATGTTTGTTTATTTATTTATTTATTTTTTACAAATAGTTTATTGTCAAATTAGTTTCTACATAACACTCAGTGCTCATCCCCAAAGTGCCCTCCTCCATGCCCATCCCCCCCCCCCCCCACATCCATCAGTCCTCAGTTTTTGTCAGCATTCAAGAGTCTCTCATGGTTTGCCTCTCTCCCTTTCCCCCACCATTTCCGCCCTTCTTCTCCCCCTTGTTCCTCCGTCAAGTTCCTCCTAATCCTCCTATACGTGCAAACATATGATATTTGTCCTTCTCTGCCTGACTTATTTCGCTCAGCATAACACCCTCAAGGTCCATCCATGTTGCTACACATGGCCAGATTTCATTCTTTCTCATTGCCATGTAGTATTCCATGGTATAGATAAACCACATCTTTTTGATCCATTCGTCCGATGAAGGACACTTAGTCTCTTTCCATGTTTTAGCTATTGTGGAGAGTGCTGCTATGAACATTGGGGTACATGTGCTCCTATGCCTCAGCATTTCTGTATCCCTTGGGTAAATTCCTAGCAGTGCTATTGCTGGGTCATAGGGGAGTTCTATTGTTAGTTTCCTGAGGAACCTCCACACTGTTTTCCAGAGGGGCTGTACCAGTTTACATTCCCACCAACAGTGTAGGAGGATGCCCATTTCTCCACATCCTCGCCAGCATCTAGAGTTCTCTGATTTGCTCATTTTAGCCACTCTGACTGGCGTGAGGTGGTATCTCAGTGTGGTTTTGATTTGTATTTCCCTGATGAGGAGGGATGCTGAGCATCGTTTCATGTGTCTGTTGGCCATCTGGATGTCCTCTTTGGAGAAGTGTCTGTTCATGTCTACTGCCCATTTCTTCACTGGGTTGTTTGTTTTTCGGGCGTGTAGTTTGGTGAGTTCCTTATAGATTCTGGATATTAACCCTTTATCTGATATGTCATTTGCAACTATCTTTTCCCATTCCGTTGGTTGCCTATTAATTTTCTGGGTTGTTTCCTTGGCTGTGCAGAAGCTTTTAATCTTGATGAGGTCCCAACAGTTTATTTTTGCTCTTGATTCCCTTGCTTTTGGGGATGTGTCAAGTAAGAAGTTGCTGCGGTGGAGGTCAAGGAGGTTGTTTCCTGCTTTCTCCTCTAGGGTGTTGATAGTTTCCTGTCTCACGTTCAGGTCCTTTATCCATTTTGAGTTGATTTTTGTGCATGGTGTGAGAAAATGATCTAGTTTCATTCTTCTGCATGTTGCTGTCCAATGTTTGTTTATTTTTGAGAGAGACAGACAGACAGACAGAAGAGCCAGGAAGGGAGAGGGAGGAGGACAGACAATTCCAAGCAGGCTCCACACTGACAGCAGAGAGCCTGATGCGGGGCCCAACTCACCAACCATGAAATCATGAGATCATGAGATCGTGACCTAAGTCGAAGTCGGCCGCTTAACCACTGAGCCCCCTAGGCACCCCTCTCCTGTGCTTCCTTTAAAAACAACTCATCTGGAGAAGAAAGCACCAGCGAGGCTGTCAGGCTGTGTGTGACCTCCAGGCAGTCACGGAACTTCTGGGGCCTGACTCTAGCCTTACAGTGGGGAATTGGGACTTACTGTGTTATTTCCTCGCCCATGACTTCAACTTGGGCTTAGAGGCTGGGCCTGTGCCGGCTGCAGCGACGCTGAGATGGATCAGCCCTGCCTTGCCTGTGGGAAGGTGGAGAAGGCCGGAGAAGAATCACAGGGGCGTGCATCCAGCACTAAAAGAAGGCCAAGGGACAGTTCATGCTGCCTGAGTATAGCTGAAGCAGGGGCCATTGGGTAGGGAAAGACCAGGCAGGCTGCCCCTGGCAGCTGGGTCACGTACAGAGCTGTGGCGGAGTAGGGCACAGGCCACCCAGCACTTGGCCCCTCCTGCACCAGGACACTGACTCAGTTTCTCCGCAGGCTCCATCTACGAGATCTCTGGGAATGAGTGCTGCCTCTCCACAGGGGACCTGATCAAGGTCACCCAGGTATGTCTCCAGAAGGTGGTCTGCGAGAACCCGAGCACCGGCCAGACCATTGAAATCAGCCCCACCTTCCGAGGTAAGGCCGCTCTCCCCTCCCCCGCCCTCAAGCCCCTCCCCTCCTCTCCTCTCCCCAGTGCACTGGCCCCTGCAGGCACACCCGCCCCAGCATGCACTCCTGCATGGGCACTCTCACTTCCAGCACTACCTTGCCCCAAGGCCTGGGATGTCCTCAGAGTGGTCCGACAATGCCCTTAGCCTGCACCCTCTCCATGCCCACCTCTGATCACATCTGTCTCTCGGCTGGGACTTTCTTTGTTCCAGGTCTTTGTCCATGTGCCTGTCTCTGTGTTTGCTCATTCACTCATCAAACATTTACTGACACTTGTGGGCCACGCCCTGTGCTAGGGGCTGGGGGTGTGGGGCTCCGGATGGACGAGTGTAGCCTTCTCCAGCCTGGAGGCCCCAGGATGGCAGTGAGCGGAGGCTAACAGTAGAGGCAGACACAAGTTTACAGAGAGCTCCAGACAGGAGTAGCCTGCCTCAGGAGTCTGTGCAGGCTTCCTGGAGGAGGTGGCACCCAAGTTGGAGAAAGGATTCCCAGAGGGAGCAACTACAGGGAGTGGCTAGTGTGTATCTGGTTACTACGTAGCCTGGTTACTGCAGGAGGCGTGTGGGACAGTGATGGGCCCGGAAGCTCACAGCCTGGATGGGAATCCCAGCTCTGCTGGCAAATAGCTGTGGCCTTGGCCAGTTCTTGGGGCCTCTCTGTGCCTCAGCTTACCCCTCTCTAATGGGGTGATCAGGCTTGATGTGAAGATTCAGAGTTGCCATGCAGGAAGTACCCGGCCCAGGGCGTGGCACAGAGGGGCGTACTCCAGGGTCTCATTCTTGGTGTGATTTACTGTGATCGCCTGAAGGGGACAGGGGAGGGCTGGTGGTGGAGAGGCAGGGGGGAGGCACTGCCAGAGGGCTTGTGTGGGGCACAGGCACATTTTGGTCTTAATTTTGAGACCACTGAGGAGCCAGTGACGGTTTTAAATATGGGAGCGATGCGCTGTATTTTGTATTTTGAGTTTTTTTTTTTGTTGTTTTATTCTGAAATATGTTCACATTTGCAGATTTGCTAGAACTACTGTACGTCTTTTATCCAGATTTACCAATTGTTTTTCAATTCACCAACATTTTGTCACATTTCTTTCTCTCCCTCTCTCCACACACAAACACACACATAAACACATATTACTGTATATGTATGTGTATATATATATATTTTTTCCTGACCCATATGAGAGTAAATTGCAGACATGATAAGCTGTTACATCTAAATATTACTCCTAATGTTTACTATTATTACTCCTGAGTACAAGGACATTTGTTCACAAAACTATAGTTCAATGATCAAATTATTGAATTTAATATTGATATAATACTGTCTAACCTACTCTATTCAAATTTCAACAAAAAGCCCCTACTGTACGTTATAGCCAGTTTCTCCTTGATCCAGAAGCCAATCCCTTCTTGATCCAGAAGCCAATACCAGGTCACATACTGATTTCTTTAAAAAAAAGTTTTTTAAGTTTTTTTTTTAACATTTATCTATTATTGAGAGATAGAGAAAAGACTGAGCATAAGCATGGGAGGGGCAGACACAGAATCCAAAGCAGGCTCCAGGCTCTGAGCTGTCAGCCCACAGAGCCCGACGTGGGGCTTGAACTCACAAAACACAAGATCATGCCCTGAGCCGAAGTCGAACGCTTAACTGACTGAGACATCCAGGCACCGCCCCCCCGAAAAAAATTTTTTTTAATGTTTATTTATTTTGAGAGAGAGACACACACAGAGTGTGAGCATGGGAGGGGCAGAGAGGGGGAGAGACAGAAGCAGGCTCTAGGCTTTGAGCTGTCAGCACAGAGCCCAGTGCAGGGCTTGAGCTCATGAGCTGTGAGATCATGACCTGAGCCAAAGTCGGACGCTTAACTGACTGAGCCACCCAGGTGCCCCCAGGCTGGAACAGTTCTTCAGCATTTCTCTTGACATCAACAGTTTTGAAGAGCCTCGATCAGTCCTTTTGCAGAATGACCTTCAGTCTGGGTTTGTGTGATGTCGCATTGATTCGATTCGCATTGGGTGTTTTAGGCAGGAAAACTCTGGAAGTGATGTGATGTCTGGATGTGGTGTTTTAGGCCGGCCCGCTGGCAGAAGAGTGGATGGGGTCAGGAGTGGAAGTAGATGGGGAAGAACAGTCCGGGCACGAGAACTGGCAGGCAGTATGTGAGGTGAAGAGGGGTGGTCAGAGCTCATCTGACCAGTAGCTCCTGCATTTCTACTCTGGGAGAGAGGGACAGTGGCACTCACTGCTGCAGCATGGGGTGACAGGTGCTGGGTGGAGGTGCCTGGAGCTCTGGCGAGGAGTATGGAAGCAGAGTTGGCCAAGTTAGAGGCGGGTATGGTTAAGGAGGGAGACAGATGTGGCCGTTATCCTTGTCTTTTGAGAAACACATCCCTGTTCTGTCTCTGGTGCCAGTCCCTCTGAGTTCTTGCCTATCTGTGTAACAAGGAACTGTCCCCATCTATACCCTTCACTGTCCCTTCAGATATGGTCAGTCGCTGCCTCTTGTCCCTCGGCCCTGCGGCCTGGGTGCCCAGATGCTTGGTGCTTGTGTTCAGGGGACTCTGACTGGGTTCTCTGTGGCAGACGGGGGCCTGGCATACGTGGCCCTGGGCCCAGCGCAGGCCTGTCCCGCCTTGACACCCTCTGCTGTGCCCCACAGGCCACTTCAGCCCCCTCACCGGCCCCCAGAGCTACGGAAGCCTGGAAGAGCTGCTCTCTGCTGCGAGCCATCACCCCAAGAAGCTGCCCATTTGCTTCATGTCGGCCCACAGAATCGTCACAGAGGGCAGGGTGGTGCCTGAGGACCAGCCCCTCACGCTTGAGGACGTGGAAATACACCACGGGGTCTACCGCGCCCGCTGCGTGCTGGACACCGAGGCCCAGCTGCTCATTCTGCACCTGCCCCTGTCCCAGAAGGGTCCCTTCTGGGAATGGAAGCCCGGCGCCTCTCGGCCCCTGCTCCAGGCTCTGCAGGACCCAGGCCTGAAGAACCTCCTCTTCACCTGCCCCACCCTCCCCTGGCGCTCCCTGATCCTGAGGCCCCAGTATGAGGTCCAAGCCATCATGCACAGTGAGTTGCCTGGGCAGCTGGCGGAGGACTGGTGGGGCGAGAGAGGGGGCCTTGGGGAGCTGCTCGGATGGGAGGCACCCCCCCTCCCTGATCCCTGTGGATAGTCTAGGGATTCTTCGGGCGGCTTACCCAGAACATAAATTGGGACAGAATCCCAAACAGTGGGAAGTTAGGTGTGAAAGGAGACAGGAAAATGAAGGAAATTAAGAGTGAGGTCCCACTCTTCTTACTTTTATCAAATTTGGGACCTTGCTAGCAGCTAGGACAAAGCAGCAGTGTTACCGAGCGGAACCTTGACGATTTGCTCTGGGGAAACAGATTTTCCCGCCACTGGGGAGAATAGGATTGTTCTCGAAGGCCCCTCCATCTGGGAGTTGAGGGCGCTGGGTGAGTCCCCAGCTGTTCTACAGGCTATTTCGCAGGACCGGCTGGAGGCAGGTGCAGAGCGGGACTGCCCGAGGTGGGTGGGGGCGGGCTGAGCTGGATCAGGAGATCGGGTGCCCTGGGGCCTCTTCCTTGGAGGACAGGAATCCAAGGTTCCACCCCCTGGCAGTTATCCGGGGCGCAGCTGGTCAGGGTTGCTGGCGTGCTACAGAGCCAAGTGGGAATTCTTTTGATTTTTAAAAAATCTCTGAAATCTTTAAATTAAAATTTAAACTTAAATTTTTTTTCATGTTTATTTATTTTGAGAGAGAGACAGAGCACGAGCAGGGGAAGGGCAGAGAGAGAATCCCAAGCAGGCTCTGCGCGTTGTCAGCGCAGAGCCAACATGGGGCTCGATCTCACGAACCTGGAGATCATGAGCTGAGTGGAAATCAAGAGCCGGACGCTTAACGGACTGAGCCACCCAGGCGCCCCTCCTATCATTTCTTTTACAAATACTTCAATGTGTCTCTTTTAAAAATAATTTTTTGGGGCGCCTGGGTGGCTTAGTTGGTTAAGCGTCCGACTTTCGCTTAGGTCATGATCTCGTGGTTCGTGGGTTCGAGCCCCGCGCTTAGGTCATGATCTCGTGGTTCGTGGGTTCGAGCCCCGCGTCGGGCTCTGTGCTGTCAGCTCAGAGCCTGGAGCCTATTTCAGAGTCTGTGTCTCCCTCTCTCTCTGACCCTCCCCTGCTCACGCTGTCTCTCTCTCTCCTAGAAATAAAAATATTAAAAAAAATAAATAAATAAAAATAATTTTTTAAGCAAATAATACCATCGTCACACTAAAAAAGTTAACAATAACTCCTAATACCACTACTTGGGTATTTGAATTTCCTCTACTGTCTCATTTTTTTTTAATGATTTATTCACAGCAGGATCCAGAGAAGATTTGCAACATTGCTGCTGATTGTTAGATCTCTTAAATCTCTGTTAATCTATAGGTTCACTTTTCTTATTTTTTTTATAGTTTATCTGTTGACAGGAGTAAGCCATGGGTCCTGTAGCCTCACCCACATTTTAGATTTTGTTGCCGGCATCCTGGTGGTGGTGCCGGGATGCTTCTGTCTCCTGTATTTCCTGTTGTGTTGGGCCGTCGGCCACGCCCAGGTTCGATGATCTGCTGGGAGGCACTTGACATATAAGTTGTACTCACAGCCATGATTAGAGTGAAAGGACACAGAGTCACACGGGACACACCGAATCCCTTCAGCACTGAACTGTGACAACACATGTAAGGCGCAGTCCACCAGGGAACTCGTCACACTCAATGCCCAAGGTTTTTACTGAGGGCCGGTCACGTAGGTCCCCAACCCCCCCCGCCCCCGCCTCACTCAGCACGTACCAAGATTGCAGCCTTCCACATGGAAGGCAGCTGCTCAGCGTAACAGATGGTTTGTACAGTCTGAGGACAGGAAACTGCCCTCACCAGTTAGAGGATGGTGGGAACACGTGCTAAGCCACCAGCCAAGGACCAGCCTTGCAGGCAGGCTTTCTAGGGAGAGAAGCCTCGGGCCGGCTGTTGGCTCTTTTCTGCACAGCTGTAAACAGGCACTTGGAGGCTTGACCTGACACAAGAGGCGGAGTCGCCACCTGGCTCTGTGTCCATCACTAACCAAACTTGCAGCACCGACCTTGCCATATGGTGTAGATCAAAAACAGCAGAAGGGCCAGCATTTGGGATGTGAGTGGCCGCTGCTGGTCCCTGCCTAGATCCACAGCTTCCTTAGGGTCTGCAAACGTGATCTTAATCCTGTTGTTCCTTCTTTTAGTCTATTAGTTAGGAAACTACTATTTTTTTTTTACATTTATTTAATTTTGATAGAGCACAATGGGGGAGTGGTAGAGAGAGACGTAGACACAGAATCCTAAGCAGGCTCCAGGCTCTGAGCTGTCAGCACAGAGCACGGGGCTCAAACTCACAAACTGAGATCATGACCTGAGCAGAAGTCGGATGCTTAACTGAGCCGCCCAGGTGCCCCAGGAAACTACTCTAAAGAGCCCCTACCCAACTCTTCGGTTTGTGCAAGAAATATAGGCATTGTGTTTATATGTGTCGAGGTCTCAGGGCACCATTCTACCCCCGCTCTGCAGACCTGGCCACATCCTGCCTGGCTCACCAGCCCTGCTCTGCACTCTGCCTCCAGCCTCCATGGAGAAGCAACCTAAGAAATGCCCTATACTTTGTGTACTAGTTTGTAAAGCGAGCTGGCTCCCTAGCATTCTTCAAGGAGGATTATTCGGGTGGTGGTGTTTTTATTTTTTTTGTTTTTACATCATCATGAACTCACAGATGAAAATGTTCAGTGCTCCACCCCGTCGGAATTATTATGGACGCTCACATCATCTCAGCTTTGGCCCATGAGAGCCTTTTCAGTTTGGCTCTTGAATCCTTTTGACACACCTGCATCATCTTAAATCGATTTTTTTTTGCTTTCTGGGATAAGGTGCTCTAGACTCTTGCACATTTTCTCTCCTGGAAGTTCTCTCTCTTTCCCAGGGAGCCCTGGAGTATTGTGGGAAATGGCAGTAAATTAGCTCACCCGGCACAGGGCAGAAATCCCAACACTGTGACCTGAGGCAAGTCACCACTTAAGCTTCAGTGTCATCATCTGTAAGAGGAGGATGTTCCCTCCTCCACCTTCCATGTGGCACGGCTCCAACACAGGGAAGGAGCCAGTTTCCCTTACTCCTACAGAGTCACCTCATCAGTGACTCATCGATGCCCAGAGAGTAAACAAGTCATCAAGGTCATTAACTGGTATTTTTCTTGATGTGATTTTCTTTATTTAAAATGCAGAAAAGGGGCACCTGGGTGGCTTAGTCGGTTGAGCGTCTGACTTCGGCTCAGGTCATGATCTCACAGTCTGTGGGTTCGAGCCCTGCATCGGGCTCTGTGCTGACAGCTCAGAGCCTGGAGCCTGCTTCAGATTCTGTCCCCCTCTCTCTCTGCTTCCCCTGCTCACTCTCTGTTTCTCTCTTTCTCTCAAAATAAAGACATAAAGAAAATTTTTTTAAAAATTCAGTTAGGGGCGCCTGGAGGAGGGGCTCAGTCGGTTAAGTGTCTGACTCTGGGTTTCAGCTCAGGTCATAATCTCTCGGCCCTCTCTCTTAAAATAAGCAAACTTCTAAAAATTCAATTAAAATTTAAAAAGTGGTTGAACTGATCAAATATTTGATGCTACTAATGAATTATCAAAGAATTATTAACCTAGATGTGGTAATGACATGGTTGATTGGTTTAGCTTTATCCCTTTTAGAGGTACACACTGAAAGGTCATAGGTGGCATGATGGGTTTATTCTGATTCAAAATCATCTAGTGGAGGGGAACAGACAGGGTAGGAATGAAAGAAGATGGGCTGTGAATTAAATATTGATGCTGGGTGATGGGGGGTTCACTATACTATTCTCCTTTTACAAATGTTTAAAAATTTCTATAATAGCTTTTGAAAAGAGGTTGAAGGGAAAGAGTGAGCAAGGAATCGGATACCATGGGTAAATGCTGGCAGAAAGGAATAGGAAAGAGGTCAGCCAGCCCAGACATTTTGCTGGGGGTGGGAGGGGCACCGCTGGGCTGGTGTGTGATGCACCCCCGAGCTGACACTGCCCTTTCCACAGTGCGCAGAACCATCGTCAAGATCCCCTCCACCCTGGAGGTCGACGTGGAAGATGTCACTGCCTCCTCTCAACACATCCACTTCATCCAGCCGCTGCTGCTGAGTGACGCCCTGGCCCGGGGAGGGCCCTTCCCTCTGGCCACCGAGATCCTGGAAGTTCCAGAGGGGCCCCCTATCTTCCTCAGCCCGTGGGTCAGGTCCCTGCAGAAAGGCCAGAGGCTCTACATCCATGGCCTGGCCTCATCACCCTGGCGGGTCCTGGTCTCAACCAAGGGCCGGAAGGTGCCCAGACACTTCATGGTCTCTGGGGCTTACCAGGGCAAGCTGCGGCGGCGGCCGAGAGAGTTCCCCACGGCCTATGACCTCCTGGGCGCTCTCCAGTCAGGCCAGCCGCTCCGGGTCGTGGCCACAAAGGACTACGAGGGCGACGGGGCAGAGATCCCTGGGTTCACTTCCCTGGCTGTGGGGGACAGGCTGGAGGTGCTGAGATCTGGCCAGGTCCACGGGGCCAAGGGCAGAGACATAGACGTTTTGGTGTGTCAGCGGCTGAGTGATCAGGCCAAGGAGGAGGAGGAGGAGGAGGATGACTATGAAGAGATAGATGAAGACGAGGTTCTGCTGCCCCTCTACTGCTCCAGTAGCTTCGTGGAGGAGATGAATGATGGCCGGCGCTACAGCCTGGAAGATCTGATTACCCAGTTTTCACTGCCTTGTGAGGTCAAGGTCGTAGCCAAGGACAGTGGCCATCCTGCTGACCCTCTGCCCCCCTTCCCGGGCCTGCGGCTGGAGGAGAAAATCACGGAACCCTTCTTGGTGATCAGCCTTGACTCCAACCCTGCGGTGTGCTTTGAGATCCCTCCCCGGTGGCTGGACCTGTCTGTGGTGGAAGCTGACGGGCAGCCAGGCCCGCCAGCTGGGCCTCTCCCTACAGCCACGGTGGAGGAGCTGACAGATGCCTTCTACTATAGCCTTCGGAGGTTACCGACCTTTGAGAACCAACCGCCACCAAGGCCCCCCAAAAGTCAGGGCCTCAGTGGGCAGAAGAAACAAAGTCGCAAGGAAAAAGCTGGCCAGGTACCGATATACCAAAGTGCTCAGGGAGGGGCGCCTGTTGGGATCATTGCAGGCGCTGCCATTGCTTTGTCCGGCATCACATTTGTGTTTCAGTTGTACGGAACTTGCAGTTTATACACTTTCAGAATATACCTATTCTTCTTCTTTTTTTTTTTTTAATTTTTTCTTACAGTTTATTTATTGTTGAGACAGAGAGAGACAGAGCTTGAATGAGGAAGGGTCAGAGAGAGAGGGAGACACAGAATCCGAAACAGGCTCCAGGCTCTGAGCTGCCAGCACAGAACCTGACGCGGTGGGGCTCGAACCCACGAACCGCGAGATCATGACCTGAGCCAAAGTCGGACGCTTAACTGACTGAGCCACCCAGGCACCCCTTGTACCTATTATTCTTATTTGATCCTGACAGTCTGATGCTAGTGTGATTATCCGTGCTTCACAGGTAGGAAACTGAGGACTTGGAGACCCTGAGACTTGCCCACAGTCCCAGTTAAGAAGCAGGAGGCCTAAAGTGGAGCATGAGCGTCCTGCCTCCAGGTTCACTGTGCTTCCCCTGCTGTCGTCTCCGTGTTCAGGCTTCATCATCCACCACCTACGCGGTGTCAGAGCCTCTCCTACAGCTGTCCCCGCAGCTGTCAGAATGGCCTCCCCCGCCCTTCCTCGCCTCCGATGGGCCTCGGCCCCATCTCTTCTGAAACCTTCAGTGGTTCCCCATTTCCAGGGGGTAATGCCAACCCCTTAACATGGCATCCAGGGTCCTTAATAAGCTGATTCCAACCTCAGCTTCCCAGCTCCATCTTCTACCACCTACCCTGGTCCATGCTCAGGCACAGAGAAATTCTGGAGGCTTCTTCAGGAGGCCAGGATTCCTGCCTCAGCACTTCGTGCTGGTCCCTCTGCTAGCTTCCTCCTTTCAGTGGGCAAGGCTCAGCTCGGACTTCCTCTGGCGGTGACAGCTTTCCCCTCCTGTTTTCACACTGCCATGCTGTACACGGCGTGGGTGGGCCGGACAACACCTAGTTTTCGGTTCGTTGTTGAGAGGTCAGTGAGGGCAGGGGCCTCACCCAATGCCAGGCAGTTGCAGTAAGTGTTGATTGGTTCCAAAATGAATCACAATGGGGGAAGAGAACCAGGCGTGGAAGCTGAAAGACCAAGTTTATGGCCCAGTTTACTCACCCAGGGGCTCGTACTCCTTCTCGGGGTATCCAGTTTCTCGCCGATGAACCTGAGGTAGTATCACTCCACTCACAGTGCTGGCTGTCTACTGTGGCGGACGCCATATGTGCATGACCCCATATAGCTCTCACAGCATCCCTCTGAGCTGGGCACTAACATCTCTTTCTATAGTTGAGAAAACAAGAGGCACAGAGAGGTAAAGGAGTTGACCTGAGGTCACAACCTAGCAAACAGCAGGGTGGGGTTGGAAGCTGGGTCCGACCACCTGGCCCGAGCGCGCGCCTACCGGCTGTGCCCTGCTCACAGCAGATGGTCTACATCAAACGCACTCTGTAAAGTGTATTAAGTTTATTGTCTTGGGATCTGGGGAGACTCCTATCTTGTACCGTGAGGGTAAGTGGTGGAAGAGCAGTGGGAGTTGGAAAGATGAATTCTTTTTTTTTTTCACTTTAATTTCTATTTATTTATTTATTTATACAAATAGTTTATTGTCAAGTTGGTTTCCATATAACACCCAGTGCTCATCCCCACAAGTGCCCTCCTCCATGCCCATCCCCCCTCCCCCCACATCCATCAGTCCTCAGTTTTTGTCAGCATTCAAGAGTCTCTCATGGTTTGCCTTTCTCCCTTTCCCCCACCATTTCCCCCCTTCTTCTCCCCCATGGTCTTCAGTTAAGTTCCTCTTAATGTATACGTGCAAACATATGATATTTGTCCTTCTCTGCCTGACTTATTTCGCTCAGCATAACACCCTCAAGGTCCATCCATGTTGCTACACATGGCCAGATTTCATTCTTTCTCATTGCCATGTAGTGTTCCATCGTATAGATAAACCACATCTTCTTGATCCATTTGTCCGTTGATGGACACTTAGGCTGGAAAGATGAATTCTGAGCAGTGTCAGCCCCAGAAGGGGCTTGCATCTGTAGGGGAGGGAGGAATGCAGTGGTTTTCTGAGGGAACAAAGAGCGGGCATGGGCATCTGAAACACAAGCCTTCTGGAGAGTGCTGGAAAACCCATGGTACGAAGAATTGAGACATCAGTCCCAGCCTTTGCTCCTCTTGGAAGTGACTTTGGGCCCAGTCCCTGCTCACTGCCTTTGATGCTGCAACTTTTCTTTTCTGAGCATCAGTATACCCCACTGCTAATGAGGGGCCCTATACTGTTTGCTCTCCAAAGCACGGTGTGGTGGGGAGGGCACCAGCTTTAGAAGCCATGGACATGGTTCTGGGTCTGAACCTTGGCCCGGCTTACAATCCTGTCTGAGGTCTGACATGGCACATCTTCGGAGCCTGTTTCCCATGTGTTCATTGGGAATTCAAACAACTATCCAGAGGGTCACCTGAGGATAAATGAAGGTGTGCATATGGTGTAAGGTGGGAGTTCCACAAAAGTCCTCCTCCTTCTGGGACCCCTCCCAGCTCTGGTACCCGTCCTGAGGTTTTGTGATTGTCCCCCTCCCCCTCTCCTGCCCTTCGGCAGTAGATGTGAATCCCCTCTGTGGAGAAACTCAGTGCCCCCGATCTCTAGCCCCCAACCCTTTTATCTCTCATTCTGGCCTGTCTCCTCTGCCTAAGAACACTTCATGCGCTAGTAGCAAAAACACTTGGGGTCCCAAGAAGCCCTACTCTAAAAAGGAAGTCGAAGGGAGCAGAGGAAGTGGCACTTGAAGGGAATTAACATTTCATGGACTCTGCTGCCCCGTTTCTTGGGACTCTGCTGACTTCTGCTTTTTCTGCCACTTAGTGTTCCCAAGTCTTAGAACTGCAGGAATACCCTCTGCTCCCCAAACCCAAGATGAAGGCACCGCCGCAGAGGGTCAAGGACAGCTCAGATACGTACAGCAAGGTTTCCACCCACAAGAAGGGCCTCAGGGCCACCAAGACCAACAGAAAGGATCCAGGTGAGTCCCCTTCAGCTCCTGCTCACCCGTGTTCTTGCTTCTCCCTTCCCTCCCCTGCTCCTTGGCTGTTGCCTTCACCTCTGCGGGCGCTGACCTTCCCTCAGCAAGCCCCAGCTCATGAGCAGGCCTTTCTGCAGTCCCAGTTGGACAGACAGGCTTCTAAGGGGTGGGCGGCAGCTGGAGGGTCCCTACTGTCCCTCCCTCAGGGGCTTGCACGTAAAGTAAGTTCATCCTCTGACATACTGTGCTCCCCAAAGCACGCGGAGGAAATATGTACACAGTATTCAGAAAGAATAAATTGTAGTTTCTGATCTAGCAAGGACCTTAGAGCATCCACACCAACTCCTTCCCTGTCCAGTGCCCTATAAAGGGGAAGGAACCCGCTGAAGGCCAAAGACTTGTAGTTAACATGAACTCTTTTGCAGATGACGACGAACATGATTACGAAGAGGTACTTGAACAATTTCGGAATAACCTTTAGATGCTGGAGGAGCCCTGCTTCCTAACTGCTGCTTCTCATGGAATCTGAGATACCAGCCAACTGTTAGAAGACCATGGACAAGATCTCACTGAAATCAGACTGTGGACAGCACGTTTGCTAATGACTCTGTGGGGACTGACCTGTATAGGGGTGAACATACCACCTTCCCTAATTCTAGACTCCTGGCACCGAGGGCTGGCTTGTTTGGGCCCAGCACCTTGCACTCCCTCAGCCTCAGAGCTTCGGTATCCAGAGGAGCCAACCGGATTCTACTCAACCTTGAGTCCCCAACACCAGTTGTCTCACTGGTTGGTGCAGAAAGGAACCCAGGGACCACCAAACGGGGCAACGATGGCAGTGTTTCCTGCCTCTTGGTAAAGGGGACTCAATCCTGACCACACTCACCAAGAGCCTTGTTAGGTTTGCCACCTCCTCGCCTCCTGTGGGCTCACTCTTTCTCCTCCTCCCCCACCCAGTTCTAAGCCCCCAAGAGACCAGGACTGTCTCATCTCTGCAGTACGCAGCACGTGACAGCTGCAGGGGACTATCCAAGATTTTTTCACTCTAAAACCATAGAATAAAAAGGACATCTGGGCTTCTGGAAAAATGGCTAACAGGTATCATTTAGTAAGTTGTGCGCCAGACCCTTTATAAACGTCATCGAAATCCTTACCTCTCTAAGATACACAATGACCTGATTTTAAAGATCAGAATACAAGTTTGAGTGGTCAGGTGCTTCAGGAAGCAGACTAGTCGTGAGCCTGAGTTAGGACCTCAGCTCAGCCACCTATTAGCTGTGACTAGGAGCAAGTTATTTTAACCTCCCTAACCTTCAGTTTCTTCATATGTAAAATAAAACAAATAGTTTTCTACCGCACAAAATTGTTTTAAAGATTAAATGAGGTCATCTTGGTAAAGTTTTTAATTTTTTTAAAAAGTTTATTTATTTTGAGAGAGAAAATCCCAAGCAGGCTCTGTGCTATCAGTACAGAGCCTGATGCAGGGCTTGAACCCATGAACCATGAGATCATGACTTCAGCCGAAATCAAGAGTTGGATGCTTAACTGAGTGGGCTGGGCATCCTTTGGTAAAAAGTATTTAGTGCAGGGCCTGGGACATAATAAACACTCAGTAAGAATGTTCTTTATTGTTGACCCAGATCACGTTAACTATATGTGTCCCTAAAACCTATATTCTTTTTTTTTTTTTTTTAATGTTTATTTTTAAAGAGAGAGAGAGAGAGCATGTGTGTCCGTGAGCAGGGGAGGGACAGAGAGAATCCAAGCAGGCTCCATGAGGTCAGCAGAGCCTGATGCGGAACTCAAATTCACAAACCATGAGCTGAAATCAAGAGTCAGAGGATTAAACCCACTGAGCCACCCAGGTGCCCCTCTAAAACCCATATTCTTTCCATAGCCCTACACTGTCCCCTATTCACAGAATTCATCCCAGTGTTTGAAATATACTAAGCTCCTAGACTGTGGAGACAAGTGCACTGATTGGCTGGAGCGTCTCACTGATTGGCTGGAGCACCTCACCATCCTGGGTAACAGACACCGGGGAACAAATACAAACCCATCCCACGCGGAGACGACCTCAGCTTCCAAGGTCAGTCTCGGCCTGTTCCCTGAGGTAAGACCACAAACCTCACTTCTGGAAGTGGTGGCGCTTTGGTTTCCTAGACTGATGCAGTCGCGACACTAAGCACCACGGACAGCGGAAGGCAGGAGCCAAAAAGGTGACTGAGCCTCCAGCTGAGGTGGGAGCCCAAAGTGTCAATACGCAGCCTGGATTCTAGGTACTGAGCCTGCGTGTGTCCCTCCCGTGTCTGCTAATGCTCCTTTGGGCTGTCCGGACCCACTGCACTCCCCAGGCCCCCTGGCTTCCATACCCCAGCGTGGAGCTCTCCAGGGGAATGCCACGCAGCCAATACAGGCTAGTGGGTCGGTAGATGCAGAGAACATCTAAGCTACTGAGGAAGAGCGTGCTCTGGGACAAACGATAAGCAAGAGAGTAAGAAAAAAAAGTTTCTTCTGGGCACAGAACTCTTAGGACCAAGGCCACATGCAAAATTCACTTCACTTCCACATCTGCATTTAATTGTGGCACCAAACTGAGGAAGATCACTAAGGGGCAACAGAGGAGAGGGCTACCCGTTCCTACAGAAGGGGATTTCTGGGTGGCCAAGCACGGCGATGAGAAAGAAAGCAACTTCACAGCTAGGCAAGAGGAGCTTTAAAGGAAAATGTGTCTGGAGTGCCTGGGTGGCTCAGTGGGTTAAGCTGAGATTGGCTCAGCTCGTGATCTCGAGCCCCGCATCGGGCTGTGCTGACAGTGCAGAAACTGCTTGGGATTCTCTCTCTCCCTCACCCTCTGTTCCTCCCCCGTGCACTCTCTCTGAAAATATGGACAGACTTGTAGATAAACATACTGACTGACTGACTTGTACGCATCAACATAGCTCCCCAGATAGGAACCATTCTGCAGGTACAGAAACAACCACCAGACTGTTGTTCACTTTTAGAAACCAGAGGGTGGGGCATTTTCCAGACGGCTGCTCGTAGGTTTCATTTAGAAACACAGTTAGAGCAGTTATAGAATTTTTATTTACATGTTATACCTCATTAACTTACCTCAGAATTAGTTCTTTTATTCAAGGCACAGGTTACATTCTGGGGTTGTCAAAAACATCTTGAGCTAGTCTTCTCTCCCACAAGAAATGGAACTGATTAAGCTGGCCAAAAAATAGCCACAGGCCTTCAGTCTCCTCTTGAGGGGACAGTGACAATGACAAACACTCAATTCAGCTACGTGACCACACACTGCTAGAGTGGAGATTAAGGCCCATTGTATAACCTCTACGAATGACAATGCTCTGATGCTTAACAAACATCATTTTACTCCAGAGTTTCACAACAGACCTATAGGAAATGACACAGTTCTCTTTTCATAAATAAGGAAACGGGAGGCCCTCGGAGCTGATGCGGCCTGCCCAGGAGCCTAACTAAAAGTGGAAAAGCCAGGACTTCAAACCCAAATCAAGCTATGCTACATGCTTCAGATAATAAAGTAGTGATTACACCAGCTTAGGGAAAAAAGAACATTTTCACAAATTCTGCAATAGAATTATTTTATTAGACATATGGATGTACTTATTTTGTATGAAGCTGAAAGAACATCTCTTTCTCCTGCCCTCACGAGGCCACCACTCTAGAACTTCATGTTCACGACACACTTTCGGCAGCGGCCACAAGGTGAAGGAAAGCGCAATTCTGAAAACATCACCACGTAACCAAAGGTGGAGGAGGCACAAAAGCAGACAGAGGTCAGTGGGTTTCTCGGCTAGCTCCCAGCCGAAGGCCCTGGTCCTGCTCTTCTTCTTTCAAAAGGAAACACGTTAGGAGTAGAAACTCCTGGGTGTAACTTAAGCAATACTGCCCAACCCTCTTGGTAGCATCTTTCTTCCACTTCCATTTGTCCCGGTGCTGTATGTTTGCAACTTCTTTAAGAAAGTCCACCCAGGTCTACATTCTGTCAATTGTCCAAAGTTGAGCTTCAAAAAACATAAATAAACAAACAAAAAAGAAGAGCAGTAACTTTCAAAATGAGACCCTTTCTAGATGAAACCTACTCTCTAGAAGTCAACTGGCCAAACATGCCCCGTTGGGAGACACAGAGATTATGCAAACAGGTCTGGCTGGAAAATACCTCGGGCAATCAATCAGACCAGTTACTCTGCGTCTGTGGATTTAAAATGATCATCGTCCACAGTGGAATAGATGTGTCCCTCGTTGCTAAGAAAATCCACAGCTTGCCTAGAAAAAAAAAAAAGACAGAAACAGGCTCATTTAAAAACTGATGCAGGAGTGCCTGGGTGGCTTAGTCGGTTGAACGTTTGACTTCGGCTCAGGTCATGATCTCACGGTCTATGGGTTTGAGCCCCGCATCTGGCTCTGTGCTGATAACTCAGAGCCTGGAGCCTGCTTCAGATCCTGTGTCTCCCTCTCTCTGCCCCTCCCTTGCCTGTTTTCTGTCTCTCTCTGCTTCTCAAAAATAAATAAACACTAAAAAAATTAAAAAACAAAAACAAACAAACAAGCAAAAACTGATGCAGAAGAAAGGAAACTGCCTTTTGGATATGTCCAAACATAGATTTTACTCACTTCCCATTTTTTATCTTAGCCAAGACTTCACAGCCATTTTGTTCAGAGGGCTCTTACAAGGAGAAATATTAGTAAAATTGCAAGACTGAGGTAATGCATGGAGACAATGGCTATTAGGGTGGCCTTGGACTCCTCTCCCAAACTGTGTAAACGCCAGAAACCAGGGCCTAACTCAAATGCCAGTGTAAGCAAACTGAAAGGAGAATCTAAAAAAAAAAAAAAAAAAAAAATGCAGTCCAGCTTGCACATAAAATCTCCTAGCATAAACAGCTATTTTTAAAAGTTCCTCCTCCCTACTCACCCATCAACCCTCTAGCTCCCTTTCTGGGAAGTAAAGCTGCAGGACATAAAAGAAAGGTCTTTCCAGAAAAGACAGGACAACTTCAAACCCTTCAAGGCCCTCAGGATCGGTGTCAGTAAACATGTAATAACAGTAATAATTTGTAGAGCGTCTACCGCATGACAGTGATTCTGTTCCTCACCATCCCCGTAACTGAGACAGGAATTAAGATCTTCATTCTATTTAAAACAGGAAATGAAGTTAGACCTGAGCCTTTCTTTTCTATATAAGCCTAGAGTATCAACTGATTTACAGTTTCAAGTAACCATCACAAGCACCAAGATACTGGTGCTTGATTAGTTCCCCAGAATCAGGAAGCTGCTTGTCTAACGTGGACTCAGAGTAAGGATGCCGGAAGGATCGTCTATAGCTTCAGGGTCAGACAGCCAAACGCACATCTCCACAGCGGGAACGGTGACACCAATGGGACTGTGTTACTTGAGGACCAGGAGAGAAGGATCTCACTCCCCCAGACTGAATTCTACAAGAGGTCAATTTTTTTTCTAGCTTATTTATTTTTGAGACAGAGCATGAGTGGGGGAGAGGCAAAGAGAGAGGGAGACACAGAATCTCAAAGAGGCTCCAGGCTCTGAGCTGCCAGCACAGAACTCGACACTGGGCTTGACCCACGAACCGTGAGATCATGACCTGAGCCCAATTTAGACGCTTAACTGACTGAGCTACCCAGGTGCCCCCACAAGAGGTCAAATTTATCCGGTCAATTTTTGCTCAAAATGACAATCACCACACACGATGGGATTACTTGTTGGATGAACAAATGAATGAATGAATGATGTGATAGGTAGCATCATTCTGGTGAGTCCTCTTTCTTGCTTTCTGTGGCTGAACACTTCCCTTCTGTCACTAAGCCTGCAGCTGACGGTTTTGTTTTGTTAAACTCACTTCTCCATTACCAGAAAGCCTAGTGAGGTCAAATGGGTACAATCCTGGAGCCCCCGTTGATGGAAATCAAATACTCACTTTATCGAGGCTACAGACATGTGCTGCAGCTGGTTCTTGAGCTCCTGAAAGTTTAATCCTTCAGGTCTTGGACAAGCCTTAATCAAATTCAGCACCTGAAGAGTCAAATGGGAAAGACTTCAGCAACTACTCTGAATCAACTCCCTTATGTAAACCCGCGTCCCTTTATAACAGAGAAGTCAGTCAGGTACTTAGAAAGCCTTAGCATCATTAAGGAAGTAACAGATTGAGGACTCTCCTGCGTCCTGAATTTTTGGAGCCACTCAGTGTTTACCTGGTTTTGAGCCACAGTGAGGCCATTTGCCGGTATGGAGCTATTCCCACCAAAGTTCCCTGCTTCACTCATTCCTGGATTGCCGATCAGTGCTCTCCCTCCTAAGGGCTGAATTAAGAAAGAAGTTTGCAACATGAGAACACTTACCAACTTAAAAAACAGTCCTTGTTATTATAAATAGCTTATTCATAAGCAGCCCACAAAAAAGAACGTAAGCAGTTTTCCCAGTAACGACGGCTTACCTTGGAAGGGATAGCTATCATCATTAATGAGTGTTCGAAGGAAGGTAAAGTGACCCTCTGAAGCACATATCAGAGAGAAAGGTACCTCCTGGCTCATTCTTGTTTTTGCCATGCTGAGGGGAACCAGAGGAAAACTAGCACCGAGAAGAAAACTGCCTGGAGATTTGCTATAATGGTGTCTTTCCTTGGTGCTTAATCATTTAAACTTGCATGCATGTTCACCCACTCATTTATTTACCTATTTTGGGGTATTCCTACCTTGCACTTGACTTTATTATTATTACAGACAATTTATTATTGAAGTATGGTTAACACACAGTGTCATATTAATTTCAGGTGCACAACATAGTGATTTGACAATTTTTTACATTACTCAATGCTTACCATGATAAACGTCCTCATCACCTATCCCTGCACAATGTTACTACAAGATTACTGACTCTATTCCCTATGCTGTGCTTTTCCTCTCCTTAACTTATTTACTTTATAACTGGAAGTTTGTATCTCTTACTTCCCCTTCCTCCCCTCTCCCCCTCCTCCCACTCAAGCATTTGTGGTCACCTAGGCATGAAGTATGACGAGAGAAAAAAAGTGCCCATCACTCTTTTGTTCTTTTTTTAGCACCAATTTTTAAAAATAATAGACGATAATCACTGTTTCCATTTTCTTTCTTAGTCACTCCCCAGCCCACCACTATATGGACTCTAAATATAACTGGGAGTGTCGGGTGGCTCAGTCCAACTCTTGGATTCAGCTCAGGTCATTATCTCGCAGTTCGTGAGATGGAACCCCGAACTGGGTTCTGCACTGACAGCACGGCGACTGCTTGGGATTCTCTCTCTCCCCTCTCTGCTCCCCCATCCCAACTCTCTCTTAAAATAAATGAATAAATTAAAAAAAATCCACACACACAAAACTCCAAAAAACTTTAAATATACCTCTGAAACTGTTCTCACCAAAATCAGCAATGACTTTTCAAGTAATATACCCAAGTCTCTCTCAGTCCTCCTAAAACTTGACTTCTCACAGAAAGACATGCTGATCACTCTCTTGAAATGTACCCCTCCCTAGACTTCTTGATATTATATTCTTCTGGTTCTCTACTTACTCAAACTATACCTTCTCAGTATCCCTTACCAGTCTTCTATCTCCCCAAAGGCTGATCATTCCCCCAGGATTCTATACCAGACCTCATAGACCACAACTCCTTGTTCCCAGTCATTGACTGGATATGTCCACCAAGCTCTCTCACACACTTCCGAGTAAAATTACATCCTTCCCAAACCTAATTGACCTGCTCTATTCCAAACCCAATGTCAGTAAACCCAAACGCAATGCTGCAGACTTCAGTTGTCTGAGTCCATTCATTCACCTCCCACAACCTGTCACCACAGCCTGTCACACAATCTTCAGTGTAGCTCAAGCCCAGTCTCCTCACCCTGGCCTCCTGACGGCACCTCGGCCGCTAAGTCTGTGCTACTCCAGTCAACCCTTCTCTTTGCTACCAAATTAACAGCTTCTGAGCATGTCCTTCCTCTGCCAGAAAGCTTTCAAGTGGCTCCCCCTGCCTGTGGAAATAATATAAACCTAGACCTTTGAGACCTACCACAACTTAAGACGTCAAAATCTCTGTTTTATTCTTGACCATTTCTTTTCTTTTTTTTTTTTTTTAACATTTTATTTATTTCTAGGAGAGAGAGAGAGAGAGAGAGAGAGAGACAGCGTGAGCAGGGGAGGGTCAGAGAGAGAGGGAGATACAGACTCTGAAACAGGCTCCAGGCTCTGAGCTGGCAGTCAGCACAGAGCCCGATGCGGGGCTCGAACCCACGAACCGCGAGATCATGACCTGAGCGAAAGTCGGACGCTTAATCGACTAAGCCACCCAGGCACCCCATGACCATTTCTTTTCAACACACTTCCCTCTCCAGCTGCACCTGGACTTCTCGTCAGCTGCAAACACGCCTCTGATCTAAACATGCGGTTCCCTATCTGGAACGCTCCTCCCTTCATCTGCCTCGTAAACACTGGCTTCTCATCCTTCAGGGCCAACTTGATTGCCACTGCCTTTGCAGAGCCTTCTGACACACCCCAAGCCAAGTTAGCCATGTTCTTCTTTCTTGGCTCTCACACGTTTGGCCCATTCCCTCTCAGAACAGCCATCATGGCGTTCTCCTGTCACTTTCCTCCACAAGCCCCTTCGTCTTCACGCAGGGCCTGGCGCAGTCCATGTCCAGTCCATGTTTACTCTACTGGACTGAATAAATAAGGATGAGAGATCAAACACGGTAAGTACCCATAACAGATGAGCACTGTGGAAATTCATTAGGAGAAATCCCATCCAGTCAGGAGACTCATTCATTTCATAAACATTCATTAAATGCCTATTGCTTTGGGCGCCCGGGCGGCTCAGTTGGTTAAGCGGCCGGCGTCGGCTCAGGTCGTGATCTCACAGTCTGTGGCCTCGAGCCCCATGTCGGGCTCTGTGCTGACAGCTCAGAGCCTGGAGCCTGCTTCAGATTCTGTGTCTCCTTCTCTCTGCCCTTCCTCTGCTCACCCTCGGTCTCTCTGTCTCTCAAAAATAAATAAACATTAAAGGAAAAAGCCCATTGCTTTGAGGTTATAAACAAATATTGATCACGGTCCCCCTCGTTTTCAAGCTAGATGCCTTCACGTTGCCTGCTGGTAAAACAGAAGCCTCACATTTTATGATTCAAGACTGAACTGAATACAATTTCTTACCCAGATCCTCTGTGTGGAAGGGTCTCATGTCCTGCTTCCGGTAGCCGCACCTCATGTATCTGTTAGGACTTGGTTTAGGCATCACCTCCTCCAAGGAGGTCTTTCTTTTTTTTAAGTAGGCCTCATATCCAGCGCTGAGCCCAGTATGGGGCTTGAACTCACAATCCTGAGATCAAGACCTCAGCTGAGATCAAGAGTAGGATGCTTAACTGACTGAGCCACCCAGGTGCCCCTACATGGGGTCTTTCTTGTGTCCAGATCAGGATAGTAAACCCTCCTCTGGCTCCACAGCACCCTGTGTTTGCCACTTACGCTGCTCTCACAGCTTAAAGGGATCTGAATCTCCAGTGCTCAGACTCCAACTCTTTTGAGAGAAAGGGGATTTTTATTTACTTAATAAAATTAATTAAAAAATACTTTAAATAAAAAGTAATTTTATTTACCTAAAAAAATTACACCTTTAATAAAGGGTGTAAAATTATCTACACCCCCAGTTTTTATTCCCTAACTACCCATCAATTGAAAAGCATTTTTATGACATATTTGATACATACATATATGTCATTAAGTATGGTAATAAGATAAATATGCTTAAGTTTTTACAAAAACTTTATCTTTATTTATGTTTAAGTAATCTCTATACCCAATGTGGGGCTTGAACTCATGACCCCAAGATCAAGATCCATGTTTCTAAATGGAACAGGAGACCTTTCCCATCACCTTCCTTGACATCAAGGAAGCATTCTACAGTTGACTGCACCCCCTCCTTCCTAAATATACTCTTTTCAGAATCTTCTACAGAATCACATTTCCTGATTTCCTCCTGTCCTATTCATAACTTCTTTGACTTCCACTGGCTCCTCTTCTCCAAATTTCTAAAGTTTAGTGTGTCCAAGAGTTCAGGTCTCTGACCTCTCAAACCCCCAATTATCCCCTCTAATCCAAGGCTTTAAATATCACCGACATGATGACTCCCCAGGTTCTACCTCTAGCCCTGACCTCTCTCCCCCTTGGATCCCAGTTCTACATATTCAACCATCTATTCTGTTCTCCACTTGGATATTGCACCGGTACCTCATATTTGGGAATTCCAAACAGAACTCTGGATTTTTACCTCCAAATTTGCTAGCTTCATCTGGTTGCCAAGCCCTGAACCTAGAAGTTGTCTTTGAACCCTCCCTCTTTATATCCACTATGTAACTCACCAAGAAGTCCTGTCAGCTCTACTTCCAAAATAGGGCAGAATCCAAACACTCCTTTATTCCAGCTGCCGCTACCATTCCCAAATCAATTCTGTTGCCATTCTTGGAGCCCCATAGTTTACACCCCCTACAAGAGCCTAGCCCAAGTGTATTTTTTAAAAGACTGACTGAGCCAGCCAGGCATCCCTAGGTAACCGGACGACATTTTAATACAAGAATCAAGAAACCCTCTGTGTGGTCCTAGATGGACTGGCCAAATGGGATTCACTCAGCAGAAAATAATGTTGAGAAATTTCAATATGCAGCAAGAAAAATAACTTTGGGGCTAAAATAATGGTGCATCACTTTTCCTATTTAGCCAACAGGTTAGAAGAAAAGCAGTAAAATTGAAAACCCTCGGGGCGCCTGGGTGGCTTAGTCGGTTAAGCGTCCGACTTTCGCTTAGGTTGTGATCTCGCGGTTCGTGGGTTCAAGCCCCGCGTCGGGCTCTGTGCTGACTGCCAGCACAGAGCCTGGAGCCTATTTCAGAGTCTGTGTCTCCCTCTCTCTCTGACCCTCCCCTGCTCACGCTGTCTCTCTCTCTCTCTCCTAGAAATAAAAAAACAAAAGAGTTGGGTGCTTCACCCGCTATTTAAAAAAAAAAAAAAATTGAAAACCCTCCTAGTGGGTTTTTTTTTTTTTTTTATGAATATAATCTTAGAGGCAAGTGCTCAGCCTCTAATTATTATGTCTACACTTGAAGGTTGTATCAGGCCTCAGCCTTCCAAGTCAGTGTGGTCAGAGGAACTTGTAATTCTGAGAGAAACAGGAGTGCTCCCTTTGGAATAAAATAACATGGCGAAGCTCACGAAGAAAATGTTCTGAGGATGGAGTGAGACCTTTCTTCTGGCTCAACCTTCAAAATGTCAAGAAAATCAAAGCCCCAGCACAGAATCTGTCTGTGTTCTTTCGGAGAAGAAGAAACATTCTGAGAGTGAAGTCGCTCACCTGGCTGTTAGCTTTGCTCAGGATCATGTGTGCATTGACTACTTCCAGCATGTGTGTGGTGAATTCGTTCATATCCTCCAGGGGCATGATCTTGAAGGCTACCAGGCTTTTTTTGTTCTATTAAAATAAAGAGAAAGATGTAAATAAAGCAGGAGCACATGTGTATCAACTTCAGGTTAAAACACTGTGGCACTTTTCTTGGTTATATTTTGCCAAACTGGAGAAAATGTGTTATATACTTCAAAGTTCTGACTTAAGGTTAATCCAAATATAGTCATTAATGAGAGAAAAACACCCAAAGCTAGAGCTCAGAGCTGTTCAGTGACTTGCCCAAGGCTACACAACCAGGCAGAGCATAGTCTGACCGCGAATCCTGTGTCCTTCCTTTTATCCCTAGAGGAGGCCACAGATGGCAATTACGGGCAGGGATCCTATTCCCTTCCATTCTATTAGTTTCACATTATGGTCAACACCTGTTATTTCTCTTTGAAGAGAATAATGAAATAATTTCAGTCTAACTCCCATTTAATATAAAGACTTGGTTCAAGATGAAGTATCCTAAACTCTGACATGAATCCAGAAATTGCTTTGTGCAAATATATTTTAACTATGATTTTTTTTCTGACTTTACCTGAAAAGATCTCAGATGGCCAGCCACTTTTACGTACGTTTCTGGAGGAACCACTGTGTTTTCACTGCTGGCATCCTAAAAGAAAAAATACAAACATATCACACGAAGGTTTTAAGGATGTTGGTGAAACTCTGAAACTGCTAAATTATGAGGGCGCCTGGGTGGTTCAGGCGGTTAACAGTCCAACTTCAGCTCAGGTCATGATCTCGCGGTCTGTGGGTTCAAGCTTTCCACTGGACTCTGTGCTGACAGCTCAGGGCCTAGAGCCTGCTTTGCATTCTGTGTCTCCTTCCCTCTGCCTCTCCCACACTCATGCTCTGTTTCTCTGTCTCAATAAGTAAACATTAAAACAAACAAAAAAAAGATCGCTGTTCTAAAAAACAAAAGAACAATAACAGAAAAAAAAAGCCCGTTTTCACAGAGTTTACATTCTAGCGCCGCCTGTCCCTTGCCTTTTAACTTTGCTTCTAAGTATAGTGAAGTTTAGAACACTTGAAACTTTCATGAAACCAAATGTACTAACTTTTCATTTGAGGGCCTCTGCCTTTGATATCTTGCCTGTAAATTATTCTTAGAGTAAGAAATTAAAAAGTGAGACTAAAAAAGTTCAGCATCTCCAAAACCCCAAAGTAACCCCACCCTCAAACAGCCGCTTACATCTGTGTCAACCCACTGGCGAACGTCCATGGGAGCAGCTGTCATGTCATCTACTTTGTAAACAATGTTGGTTGGAGCCTTTTCTGCGTGCCTGATGATACCCACAATAGTGACCTACATCAGAGGGAAGAAAAAAATAAAAGCTTGGTTTTCCCGGAAACAAAAACACCATTTATGTAGTTTTAAATAAATTTTACTTCATTCTTCGTATGACTAAGGGCCTCTCCCACAAATCGCCTTACTCACCTGTGAAATCTCAACATTCCCAATTCTGAACACTTCGTCAACCAGAGTGGCAGAAAGCAGCTGAGAGATCGTACAGGGCACGATGTGCTGGGCTCGGGCTCTCTGCAAAGAAAAAGCACATGTAAATCCAATGAAGGCAATAATAAGTACCTCCTTATACATGCCAAGCACTTCGCATATGTCATCACAGTGAATCTTCAGAATGAGTCTCATTATCCTTGCTTCACAGAGATGGAAACCAAGGTTATATAGCTAACAAATGCCACACTTCGGAATCCAAACCAGGTTTGCTGGACTCCAAAGCTCCTGACCAATGGAGAAGTCTATGGGGCACTAGGGATGCACCAAAATGAACCAGAGTGGGGACAGCATAAGGAAGGATGACCTGCTCCCAGAACCAAACTTAAACTCCTCTGTTTTAGAACGAAGGCAAGCTGGAGCTGGCTCTTCAGGTCACCAATGACGTGAGACGGTATTTGGAAAGGGTTTGAGAAACGGCCAGGGGAGACAACTTTGAAGCCGCTCTAAGGCTCGTGATAAAATATAGGGGGCGCCTGGATGGCTCAGTCGGTTTAGTGTCCATCTTCGGCTCAGGTCATGATCTCACAGTGCGTGGGTTCGAGCCCTGCGTCGGGCTCTGTGCTGACAGCTCAGAGCCTGGAGCCTGCTTTGGATTCTGTGTCTCCCTCTCTCTCTGACCCTCCCCTGCTCACGCTGTCTCTCTCTCTCTCTCAAAAATAAATAAAACATTAAAAAAAATTAAAAAAAAAAAAAAAGAAAACGTTAGAGGTATAGCTTCCTTAAGAACAGATGTTCTGACAATCAGATGGAAGTTCTGGGGAGAATTGGATAAGGGCTTGGCCACACTTGACATCTTAAAGGGAAAGGACAGGATGTGCTGGGCAGAAGATTGTGTAGGAAGGACACTGAAATCCCATCTAAAGGCAGCCCACCAACAGTGTAAACTCTTACAGTCACCCACCACTGGCCAGGGCTTGTCTCGTGGCACAAAGATGAGAAAGATGGGGTAGGATGTGCTCACAACACAGTCCTACCTAACAGAGGCAGGGATGCAAATAACAAACCTGGTCTTGGCAATATTCGAGAATGAAATGCACTATGTGGGATCCAAGGAAAACATACTAGCATTTTCAAGAGGTAGCATTTGGGCTCTACCTTGAAGTATGGACACTTTGAGAGTGAAAGAACAGTGAGTAAGGGACGGGCATTACAGGCTAAGGGTAAATACGCACTCTCACAAACTCACAGAGGAAGTAAGTACAAGGAAGAAAACACACATGGATTAAAGACTGGAGTTCCTCCTGTCAGAAATCAACAACCCAAGAGCTGTTTTACACGTAAGACAGAACATAATGGACTCCTGGCATTCATGGATTTAGAAGTTGCAGCTTTGTCTTGAGGTCCATACGATACTAGCAACATTTCCTTCTGCTGAAGCACAATTTTGAATGGGAAGCCTTGCCAGGATGCTATAAAGTGAGCCCTCCAACTACCAGCGCATGTCACAAACAGTGGCAGTTAAGCGTGATTATGTTAAGATTATGTTAAGATTAAGTTAAGATTATGGCTCTATCACTCAGGAGTAGTGTGTTCTTGGTCATGATTTTCAACTCATTTGGATCTTAGTTTTCTGTAAAACTAGGAATGATAAAATCCCGAAAATTAAGTATATGGTGAAGTACCTAGAATAATACCTGGCACAACGTAAGCACTCAAAAAATGCTAGCAATTATTATTTTAAGAAATTTTTTTCTTACGTTTATTTACTTTTGAGAAAGAGACAGCATGAGCGGGGAAGGGAGACACGGAATCCAAAGCAGGCTCCAGGGTCCGAGGTGTCAGCACAGAGCCCAACGCGGGGCTTGAACTCACAAACTGTGAGATTATGAACTGAGCTGAGGTCAGATGCTTACCCGACGGAGCCACCCAGGCGCCCTCCAAAAATGTTAGCAATTCCTATGTCAGCTAGTGTTTCTCCCTGTTTATATCTGCAACAGCTTTGACTAAGGATGTAATGGAATCAGCGATGCTTTTCAATTTTACTTTATGGTATTTTATAGGTGAGGATACATGCGATATTAGCACCTCTTCTGTAAAATGAGGAGATCTACCTTTCAACCTGTAAACAAAGCATACTGTATATAAAAATGCTAACGTTTATCTCTATGTGAAGTATGTATTCTATACATATTACTCCTCAGGTAAAAAAAGTTGCAGATGGGTCATGACTGAGTTGTTAGTAATACCTCCAAATTCATCTCCAATCAGAGGTACGTCTCGTTTTTTAACAAGCACATATTATGGGCCAGAAACTGGTTATAAGGAGTTCCTGGTATGTTCGAAAAAGATTCACAGAGAATGTGCCAGTGCAAGTATGGTGAATTTAAAAAATAATTATTTTCTAGTTGACTACAAACTATAGGTTTACTTAAAGATGAAACCACCATCTTTAAGAGGAAAACATGACCAGTACTGAAAATTTCACATGATTGAATAAGGTGTAACAGGTTTACAGTAGACAGGGAACATTCTGGATGGGGCGATTATCTAATTTACTGTGGAAAAAGCACTAGATTGAAAAACAACATGATCTGGGTTAGAAGTCTCCAGCTTCTAACCATCATCACTCTCTGAAAAGCTGTTGAGGGATCCTGAGATAAAAATTCTATCAACTGGAATGAAGAAAATAGTTAAGCTCAGAAAAGATGAAAACCTAATGATCTATCTTTTGTTTCCTCCTTCACAACCTCAAGGAAGACAAAGAGTACTGGAGTCCCCTCTGGTCTTCCTGGGAAAAAGAAAAGTACAGGACAGAGAGGCTGCTAACCAGATTCTAGATTTGCTCAGCATCATGTGTGCACGGTCTAGTTCCATTTACTTACTAGCTATAGAAGTTAAGGCAGTCCTTTATAATCTCCCAGACCCTCTGCTGCCCAATGGAGTAAACAATAAATACGTTATGGGATTATATGACATAGTTTGTATGAAAAGGATCAAGCAATGTCAAATGTATGGTCATTATCAATGAATTCTTTCCCACTGACACACAGTCCTGAACTAACAGTTTAGGTAAAAGCTTATCAACCCATACCAAAAACACAGAACTTTCCAATACTGAATCTTGACACATGTGAATGACACCTAGACAGTAGTCAAATCAACCTTGGATTTAAAGGATGAAATCAACAGCAGTTGTTAAATGCAAACTCATTCCTGAGAGAGCGAATAACAAGCATTTGGACAGCTATTTACAGATCGCTTTCCTATACATTACCTTACCTCTCCATTCTCAGAACCACCCTCAATGTAAGTAGTACCAGTACCATTTATCAGATGAGAAAAACCAAGGGCCACAAGGTTCAAGTTGCTGCAGTAAAGTCAAGGGCAGTAAAAAGTGGATTCTCAACACCATGTATTCGGTGCTCCATCACTCATGTCTTTTTTAATAAAAATATCTAGGACCATTTATTAAAAGGGACTACAGGGACGTCTGGGTGGCTCAGTCGGTTAAGCGTCTGACTTCAGCTCAGGTCATGATCTCACAGTTTGTGGGTTCGAGCCCCGCATCGGGCTCTGTGTTGACAGCTAGCTCAGAGCCTGGAGCCTCACGCTGTCTCTCTCCTTCTCTCAGAAATAAATAAAACATTAAAAAAATTAAAAAACAAAATAAACTGAAATAAATGGTGGACGTGAACTTAGGAAAAATTTCATTTTTTAAACCTGCAGCACTTAATTATAAGATTCAGTAGGACAGTAATTGGTAATTTACCAATCAGTTCTTGTTTAACACTTTTCACCGCAGGACATTTTCTCTGAGGGATGAGTTACGAGCTTCAGGACAGAATGAAATAAAACAAAATGCTCTTTCAACCTACTGATTTCTTTTCTGCCTGTGAAGGTGTCGGCGATCCGAAGCCCCCCGGGGACTGTGTGTAGCCGCCGCTGACTCCGCCAAAGGAGGAGGTGCTATAGCTTTCAGATCCGCCTAGTTTTAAACAACAGTATTAATACCTGTACTGCTTTCCAAACCTCTGAACAGCCCACCGCGCCCTTCACGCTACACACCTTCGCCAACCACTCCCAGAGTCGCCCTAATCTGCCCCACCACCTTGCCCCGGGCCACCGCCCCCTGCCCACCCCGTCCCTCCCCCACTCGCACCACCACACGCCTGCCCGACCCCGCCCTCTTGCTAATTCCTGCTTGCGACTCTCATCCTTACCAAACCACATCTTGGTCGCGATCCTCTCAGGAGAGAGGCCCAGAAGACTGCCGTCTGGTGGGCTGGCTGGGCTCCGCGGAGTCCTGTTGCGGCCGCAGTCTACAGCTACTTCCCGCGGGTGCCACAAACTCCTTCCCGCGAAGGACGGAGCCAATCAGAGTCCAGAACGCTTCTTGCTTAAGCCAATCAATGCACACGAACTCTACGCTTTTCCTGCCTTCTCCGGCACTGCGTAAGAAATCACGCCCTGCGCTGCCAATGGCGGCCCGAAGCCTCTGCGGCCATTTTTACTAAGGGCAAAACACGCTGCGCAAGCGGAAGCAAGGAGCAGAGAGAGGCTCCTAGGGCGGTGTCTCAAGAAAAACAGCCAACCAAAACGATAATTCCCTAGCTCAGGTCGTGTAATCCCACCCCCGCCAGCTGAGCAGCGCCTTACATCACTTCCTCGGCTAGGCGTCCTCCTGTTCCCGCCAAACTCTCACCAATCGGACGACGTCGTGATCTACGGAATTCTGGCCTCGGCGACCCCGCCTCGCCCTCGTGCGGCGCTTGCGCTTCGGGCACCTTGCCCTGCTACCTTCACGGCATCGCTTGGGGTTGCTGGTTCCTTTGCTTAGAAGCCAAGTTCTTTTCTCGTGTTGGCATTCCCTCGTCCTGATTTTCCCCCTCGAGGCTCCAAGGAACTTACACTCTCCTCCCCGGGACAGCCTTGCAAGAGATCGGAGGATGCCCTTCTGCCCCTGCCCCATCCTCACCCCGGCCTCGTACACCTGATTGTTGAACCAGTTCTTCATATAGCATTGCCTGTCCCTCCTGTAGAGGGGGGAACGCGTCTGTCAGTTCCTCTCTCTAAATATCACTAGGTTGTTAAATTCCAGCACACCTCGCTTATGTGACAGGAAGTATTTAGTGTTGCGCCTTGTGTTCCAAATTCTGTGCTGGCCCCAGGGATTCAACAGGAAACAAGATAGACGTGGTCCCTGGGTTCCTGGACCAGTCTGTTTTTCTAAAACTGCAGACACTGCCTTTAATATTTCACATTCACTATCTCAGTCCCTTGAGGTAGGTGAGTGGTATTATCGTCCCGGTTTTTCAAAGGAGGCAGCAGAAAGCCTAAGTTGTGAAAGTCTAAATTCAAGCCCAGGAATTTAGATTTCTTCAACCGGTGTAGTCACTATACCTTCTTGTGCATCCTAGAGCTGGGGCACAAACTCAAGTTGGCAACGGGTCAGGCAGGAAAACTATAAATGTAGTGGGTTGGATAATAGAGGGGATTTTTTTTTTTAATAGAGGGGAATTTTTTACCGTTTTCTCCACAGTAAGAAAAACAACCACACAAACATAATGGTAAATAGCAACTGACACAATGAATATGGGCCTAGTGTTGTCATCTTTAGACTTTTTTAGCAGACGCTAGAAATTTTGATTTTTGTGTAAAACTTTCTGAATTGTAGGCGTTTTTAATTTAAAAAAATTTAAAAACACCATGTAGGCCAAAGAAAAGGTATCTATGGGTCAGACGTTGCCTGTCTCCCACCTTTTACCTATGTAAATTCTGTAAGCCTCCAGGGACACCTAGGAGGCTCAGTCAGTTAAGTGTCTCATTTAGGCTCAGGTCATGATCTCATAGTCGTGGGTTCAAGCCCCACATTGGGTTCTGTGCTGACAGCTTGGAGCCTGGATCCTGCTTCCGATTCTGTGTCTCCCTTGCTCTCTGCCCCTCCCCTACTTTCTCTCTCTCTCAAAAATAAATAAACATTAAGAAAAATTCTGTAAGCCTCCAAATCATCACCGAGGAACAAGCAAGATATAGCCGAGGACAAAAACTTGAGGTATACCATGAGGACACTGTTATATTAAGCTCAAGGTGATGGAAATTACATAGTCTGACAAGTAAGAGCATATTTAAAATATAGGATAAAATGTTTGAAATTAAGAGTATCTGGGATATTTTAAGATGTGAGTTCACTTGGGGTAATTGTCCTCATGTGGGGTCTACTAGTTATAAATTCAGCTGAGAAGATCATACATTTAAAAATAAATGAAATGAAAATGTCTTAATTAAAATACTGTACAAGGCAAAACATCAAAATGAGACTTTTTTCACATCTTTTCAAAAGCTTGATGATGTAATAAATTGAGCAGAGGGCTCAGTATTCAATCAGCACTAAAATAATTGGCACTTACCTTTTATATGTGTGTGTTTGTGTGCATGTTAGTGATTTCATCTCTCAAGGTTTACTCTTGTCAAGTTGAAGTCCTCCTTTTCCCTCTCCAGGTATACTGGTATTAGGGAAACCCACAGTAAGACTTTTTTTTTTTAAAGAAGTTTTTTTAAAGATTTTATTTATAAGTAATCTCTACACCCAACGTGGGGCCCAAACCCATGACCTGGAGATCAAAATTTGTATGCTCTACTGACTGAGCCAGGCTGATGCTCCCTATAGAGCTTTTATTTATTTAAATAAATAAATATTTAAATATTTATTTATTTTTATTATTTTTAAAATATAATTTATTGCCAAATTGGCTTATATACAACACCCAGTGCTCATCCCAACAAGTGCCCTCTTCAATGCCCATCACCCACTTTCCCCTCCCCCCGCCTCCCATCAACCCTATTTGTTCTCTGTATTTAAGAGTCATCAGAGAGGCTTTTATATGTGACAGAACCCTCACAACTATTTATGCTCACGCTATTCAAGTCTTACAACTAATAAAACTTGAAGTCAATCTTTTGAGTATGTAAATATTATTAGCAAACTTAAGTAAATATCCTTAAATTTTTAAATTGCAATTAAAGTTTTGGTATGGCTGTTTCTTACAAGTACTTCAAATATCTTATTTTTTAAAAATTATTTATTTATTTAATTTATTTACTTTTAATACATTTTAATGCTTATTTATTTATTTTATTTTTTTAAGATTAAAAAAAATTTTTAATGTTTTATTTATTTCTGAGAGAGGGAGAGACAGTGTGAGCAGGGGAGGGTTAGAGAGAGAGGGAGACACAGAATCTGAAACAGGCTCCAGGCTCTGAGCTGGCTGTCAGCACAGAGCCCAACGTGGGGCTCGAACCCACAAACCGTGAGATCATGACCTGAGCCTAAGTCGGATGCTTAACCGACTGAGCCACCCAGGTGCCCCAATGCTTATTTATTTTTGAAAGAGAGAGAGACAGAGCACAAGCAGGAGAGGGGCAGAGAGAGAAGGAGACTCGGAATCTGAAGCAGGCTCCAGACTCTGAGCTGTCAGCACAGAGCCCAACACGGGGCTCGAACCCTTGAACTGTGAGATCATGACCTGAGCTGAAGTCTGAGGCCCAGTCAACTGAGCCAGCCAGGTGCCCCACTTCAAACATCTTAAGGAACAGACAAAACTTACAAAAATGATGTTTTCTTGTGAAGCTAATGTTTAATCTTTAGGACCCCGACCTGTTCACCCTCTCCCAGTGCCCCTTCTTTGTCTAGATACATATTTACTTTCCTACTTTGCTTAGTTAGCATTCTTCTTCTTAAATGGGGACACACACATTATATTTTGCTTATTTTTTAAAAATTAGCTTATTATTATTTTTTAGTAATGTCTATACCCAACATGGGGCTCGAACTCAAGACCTGAGGTTAAAAGTGGCATGCTCTTCCAACCGAAACAGCCAGGTACCCTGGGGCATACAAACTGTATAAACTTTAGGTCCCGCAAAATTTGGAGCCTCCTGCCCCCTACTTCCTTGGGTCGCTGCTTTATTTATGTCGTTATCCTTCTAGGGGTTCTATAAAGATTACTTTTATTCCTCTCTGAGCTTTCAAAAATCACGTCAGACTGAAAAGGAAAAGAAATGTCATCTTAGTCCAGTTGAAGTTATTGGATCTGGGTCTTGAATCAATTGATTCTTGGTCAGTACTCGAGACTTACTTGTGTGATCCAAGGAGACTGTCAGCAGGCCACACATGAGTTTCTTTGTGTTGTGTCTGTAAGACTTTTTAAGTCATGCCTTCCACATAGGTTTTAGTTTTTTACAACCTGGTGTCTTCCCTCGAAATCATGGGCTTTCAGCCTCTCTTGGGCCGCATTACGTAACTCATTGACCTGTTCGTTAACTCTGATGGGCACTTTCGCATTTTTGAAAATTCATGTATTCCTATGAATACATTATTTCGTTATATTCACAGGGCTACCTGAAGGTTTCACTTTCTAGAAGAGGAATTGAGTCTGTAGAGTTAACTGGACTTGAGGATGGCTGGCTAATTGGTTCTCGAAGTGCTCTGTTGTCCTCACCTATTTCTTCATTGTGTGCGAGCAACTCAGCTCAACCACCCTTGTCCCACCGATTGCTCCCTTCCATAGTTTCCTTAGGAACTCTTTGACTTCTTTTCTTTTTAAACTTTTTAAAATGTTCATTTATTTTTGAGAGACACACCAAGAGTGAGCAGCGGAGGGGCGGAGAGAGAGGGAAACACAGAACCCGAAGCAGGCTCCAGGCTCTGAGCTCGCTGTCAGCACAGAGTCCGACGTGGGGCTCGAACATCACCAACTGTGAGATCGTGACTGGAGCCAAAGTCGGACACTTAACCGACTGAGCCACCCAGGCGCCCTGGAACTTTCTGACTTCTCACAGACCTGTGAGTTGCTTTCCTCATCCTGGTGGGAACAGTACATATGTATACTTTGTAAATAGGCATCTAATTAATAAAAGAAGCAAAGTACTAATTAATAAAAGAAGCAAGTAAGTAATCTTATTAAGATTAAAAAATTCTGGGACCTGGCTGGCTCAGGTGGTAGAGCATATGACTCTTGGTCTCCGGGTTGTGAGTTCAAGTTCCATGTCGGGCATAGAGCTTCTTTAAAAAAGAAAAAAAAAGATCAAAATGTTAAACATATCCTACAATAGTCACCAGTTTTGGTGACTTTTTTCCCTTTCGAACTTTCCAATTTGGGTTGTAACCATGAACTCATGGCCTTTCACAGATTCAACTCTCCCACGAACTTTGACAGCGACAATAATAAAATAACCATCATGTCGATATAGATGTCACAGTTGTCACATCGTGGCCAGCGAGAGGCTGGTTCCTTTGTCCTATCAGTGCCGCTAATGTTCTTTACAGCCTTCTGGCTTCTGGCAACAGGAGAATGTTCCAGTGTTCTCTTTCCCCAAGCCACAGACTCTGCTCCTCCTCTGGAGGAGAACAGCATACATGAGCCTTTTGAGAATTGTCTCTGGACATGGGGCTGCTGCCCTTGGAGCCCTCGTAGTAATCACTCAGCAATGACAATAGTTATTTTTTTTTATTTGACATACTGTACTGTATTAATTGATTCTGTGAGTTTAATACTGTGAGTTTGCCATGTATTTACAGGATACATAGTTTGTCATTACCTACATCTATGTTATCTTATATGATCAAAAGCACTGTAGGGGCGCCTGGGTGGCTCAGTTGGCTAAGCGTCCGATTTCGGCTCAGGTCATGATCTCACGGTTCGTGGGTTTGAGCCCCGCATTGGGCTCTGTGCTGACAGCCAGCTCAGAGCCTGAAGCTTGTTTCAGATTCTGTGTCTCTTTCTCTCTCTGACCCTCCCCTGCTCATGCTGTCTCTCTCTCTCAGAAATAAATAAACATTTAAAAAAAAATTAAAAAAACCACTGTAGATATTATACATAATACTAACAGTATAACTCAAAAGTAAAAGATAATGATAAAAAATTATAATTATTACAAGTATAATATCTCATTCATTAATAATGATGAGGCAGCAACATGAATGTTATGGTAGCCTAATATAATCAATGCAATTGCTTCATGGTATTCTAGTCTATACACTAATAAATAAATTGTTATAAACTTTAAGGAATACTCTTACAGTCATATTGATGATACAGTATTGGAAAAGCTTTACGTTTTTTAAAAGTACATGTGATGATAGACTGGTACACAGTTTCTTGAATTATTGGAGAGAGAGGCTACTGAATGGAAATGTAACTTTTTTATTTTTATTTTTTTAATGTTTATTTATTTATTTATTTTCAAATAGTTTATTTTCAAGTTGGTTTCCATATAACATCCAGTGCTCATCCCCACAAGTGCCCTCCTCCATGCCCATCTCCGCCCTCCCCTCCTCCCCACAGCCATCAGTCCTCAGTGACAATAGTTATTTTTTAAAATTTTTTTAAATGTTTTATTTATTTCTAGGAGAGAGAGAGAGAGAGACAGCTTGAGCAGGGGAGGGTCAGAGAGAGAGGGAGACACAGACTGTGAAACAGGCTCCAGGCTCTGAGCTGGCAGTCAGCACAGAGCCCGACGCGGGGCTCGAACCCACGAACCGCGAGATCATGACCTAAGCGAAAGTCAGACGCTTAACTGACTAAGCCACCCAGGCGCCCCGACAATAGTTATTTTTTAAGGTGAGGCGTTTGCATTTATTTTTCCAATTGAGCATAGCGTGCTACTGTACCTCACATTGTGACACTGGCAGATAGTCTGTGGATCGTTTTTTGTTTCTTAATCTTGGAGCAAGGGGCATTCGGTTGGCAAAGACATGGAATCTGCGTGCGCCTCTGGGTCAAAAGGGCAGGATCAAAAGGTCCTGCTTTATTCACTTAATCTTCACAACAACCAAATGAGGTAAGCACTCTCAGCATCCCCACTTTACAGACAAAGAAGCTGAGCTTCAACCTTTTCCATAGCGTAGACACAGAAGCAAAATAACACACCCTGGATTAAACACAAGAGGTTAGGGGTGCCTGGGTGGCTCGGTTGGTTAAGCTTCCTACTTTTGCTCAGTTCATGATCTCACGGTTCGTGGGTTCGAGCCCTGTGTCGGGCTCTGTGCTGACAGCTCAGAGCCTGGAGCCCGCTTCAGATTCTGTGTCTCCCTCTCTCTCTGACCCTTCCCTGCTCACACTGTTTCTCTCTCCCTCTCTCAGAAATAAATAAAACATTAAAAGAAATTATTAAAAAAAAATCAACCATCACAAAAAGCCCAGCTTAGAGCAGACAAAAAATTATATACTTCGAGGCATGCCACATTTTCTTATTAGATATTTATTCTTTTGGGTTAGTCACTGCTGCTGCAAAGGGAAAATTCACAAGGAATTCTTAAATGACCCTTTCATATCCCTGCTCCAAAACCTTCAGTGATCACCCATGACCCATAGGAAAAAGCTTGAGGTCTTTAGGATGGCATCCGAACTGGGCACCATCAGAGTTATAATTTCACACTAATCCATATGAATTTTACTAAAGCCCATTTCTCTCGGTAAACTGTAAACTATTTTTGTCCATCATTGTGTCACCAGCACCTGGCACACAGAGGGTGTTTAACGAATACATGTTAAATAAATGAGTAAATGAAGGAATACACAAGAGCAACGTGTGTTTGCTCTAGAATAACTGGACTAGATGTCAACTTTCGTGGGTTCTATCGTGGCCTCGTTCTTGACCTTCCTGGACTCTGTGGACTTGAACCCCAAGACAACCACAGATGCAGCCTGGCTTCCCAGGGGCTCTGAGCCCCAGACAAAGGTCATGAGTCGCCAGATGGCTGCCCCCCATGCCCCAAGGGCTCTGCTACCAGGGTTTTTTTTTTCTTTTAAGGTTATTTATTCATTTTTGAGAGTAAGACAAAGAGAGTGAGCAGGCGAGGGGCAGGGAGAGGGAGAGAAAGAATCCCAAGCAGGCTCCGTGCTGTCAGTGTGGAGCCGAATGTGGGGCTCGAACCTACGAACCATGAGACCATGACCCAAGCTGAAACCAAGAGTTGGACTCTTAACGGACTGAGCCACCCAGGCGCCCCCAGCATGTTTGTTTTATAGCCTCTGCTGAGGTGAGCTTTTATACAACAGCTTTTCTCTAAGAGTGATGGGAATTTTCTGGAGATTGCAGTTGCCAAGGATCAAAGAAATGCTTTGGGCAATATGAAAAAAGAGGTCCTGATTTGTACTTAAGGAGGCAAGGTCCTAACCCTTCATTGTCTCTGCCTCACGTACCTCCTCCAGCAAACCCAGGTCTAGCAGGGGCCGAGTGAGGGCTCCATGTTTGAGCCCTGGCCGTGTCTGTCTGGGAGGGAAACATCTTTTTCTAATTCACACAAAGGCTTGCCTTTTCTACTTACACAGAGATACCATATGGGTTAGCAGGTGGTGACAGTGGTGAGGGCCTTCTGGGGACATTGACCAAAATACTGAGGTATTTAGAAGAAGCCTTTACTTCCAGCAAAAAGCTGAGCGAGATGCTAGCAGCCAGTCAGATGGGCTTATAAGGGGCTCCCAGTCCCCCTCAGAGCTTTCCTGCTCGTTCCCATTTCAGGCCTAGTCATTAGTAACTCCCTGCTCAGCCCTGGGGAGCCGCCTGCCCTAACCCCCTGCCTGCCCTCCTTCCCCACCAGTCCCGTGTGGTACCCTCCCGGCAGGTGTCCTGTCTAGATACCTTGCAGCAGTTTTAAATCGGGCCAAGGGCTCAGGTGCAAGAAGTCACACTGCCTTATTTTTGTTACGTCCACAGCGATTGATCTCTGGCCCCTCTTCCCTTCTGCACTGGCAGAAAGTTCAGTCTTGGTGGTTATTACGATACTTTCCTCCTCTTTGGGGTGACCCAGGGCCCCGAACACAGGCTGGGCTTTGCTCTTCAGTTGTTTGTGGGCCCTCTTTTTTTTGTTGTTGTTGTTTGTTTGTTTATTTATTTATTATTTAGAGACAACGTGCACACACGCGTGAGCAGGGGAGGGGCAGGAGAGAGAGAGAGAGAGAGAGAGAGAGAATCCCAAGCAGTCTCTGCACAAACTGAGATCATTACCTGAGCTGAAATCAAGTGTCATTCATTTAACTGACCGAGCACCCAGGGGCCCCTGGAATACCATCTCCTGTTCACCTGACACTCGCCTATGATTGGACTTTACTCCGCTTCCTGGAGGAACGCATAGCTTCGACTCTTTTCTAATACAAACTCCCAGCCCCAAGCACCAACAAGACTTATTCTAGTTTCCTTTCTCAGTCTCCCAGACACCCCATCTGTGATTCTCTACCCGTCACTTACACTATTCAGTAAACTCTGTTTTCACTTTCTCTGGCTTGCATTTGATTTCTCTCCCGCATGAAGTCAAGGACCCTCACGGCTGGTCCGGTGGGACCCTCCTCTGGGTTCTCAGACTCAGCCTGCGTGCATCAGACCTGATTGGAATCCTGATTTGAATGAACCAACTGCAAAAAAATATATATATATATAACGAGACACTCAGGAATTTAAATATTGACCAAGTATTTTATTTTTTATTTCATTATTTTGTGAGAAAAAGAATCCTCATCTTTTAGACTATTTATGGGCAAAAGAAGATGATCTGTGGAATTTGCTATAGAATAATCCAGTAGGTTAAGGTGGTGGTACCAATAAAGTAAGATTGGCCAGAGGTTCCTAACTGCTGTAACTGAAAGCTGAGGGTTTATGATGCTATCCTCTCTACTTCTGTTTCTGTTTGGCAATTTCAATAGTAGAAGAAGGTATTAGGCCCACCACTTCCCTTTCCCCAGGGTTTGATTCCTCCTCTGGGATTCTCAAGCCACTGAACAGGCTAAACTGCAGGCCGTTGGTTTCCCTCTTGAGAGCAGGGGTTGCCCTGGGTCCCTTTGGCCTCCTGGGGACATGGGTTCCCAGAATAAATGAATGGATGACTTAGTCTTGGCTTTCTTGTGGGAGGGCGTCTGGCGCTGCAGTTAGCAGCAGTTAAGTCCCTCTGCTGGCAAAGGCCAGCCATTTCATCCAGCTTTGTTTGTTCTGCTGGGGTGGAGCAACGTAAAACCTCTGTAAGTTGATGATGTTTGCTGTTGAGTGCGTTCCCTGGAGAATCCAGTTGCTGGCTGGACTGACAGGCAGGACAGGTGTGGCTTTCTACCTCTCAGAGTTCAAAGGCCTGGCTGGTGCATCTCCTTGGGCCGGCCCAGCTCACGCCCTGCTAGGCAAGGGAAGAAAAGCCAGAGGAGGCAGCGCCTTGGATGACTAGGCAAGCGGGGGAGCAGGACGGGAACTTCTGCTCAGGCCCATGGCCAAGAACATCTAGCTGGAAAGCCTGCAATATCAGCCACAGATCCTGGAGAGTCCCGCGGCTCCCGCGGCTCCTGTGGCATTAGCTCTAAACATGAGGCGAGTCCCAAAGATGAGACTGTTCAAGTTGCTGATTTTCTTGGCCCACTGGCGAGTCACCAGGGCCGAGCCCGGTAGGTGCTGCAAATGCCTTTGATGCCTTTGTTTTGTACTATGAACTCAATTCCTGGCTGCTGGCAACTGCTCACAGAAAGCTGAAAATGTTGCTAAAAATAGCAAGGCAGGAAGCTAAGGCAGGGAGGCGATGGGGGTGGGAATGGGCTGTTCTTTGAGCCTAAAGATTGGAAGTGGAGGCGAGAGCCGGCCAGGGGAGGGACGCTGGCTTGGCTAAGAGATGTGGGTACATAAGAGCCATCTGGTTGAGGTGGAAGGTGGCAGGCAGATTCATGATTTCATTCAGCAAACATTGGTTAAGGGCCTTTTGCATACCATGCACTGTTCTAGGAGCCAGAAATGGGAAAAAAGGAAAAGACACAAAGCCCCAGCCCTAGTGAAGCATTCCTTTGGCTGGGGAGAAACAGACCAGAAGGCACATGAACAAGTAAATGCATGGTCTTCCAGGAGATAATAAGTGTTCTGGAGAATAATAAAGCAGAATAAAGGGGGGGGTACTTACAAGTGGCCAAGTAGTGACATTTGGGTGGAGACTTGAGGCAGTGAGGGAGAGAGCCATATGGACATCTAGGAGAACATTCCAATAAGAGAGCACACAAAGCACACAGGCCCAGAGCCTGATGCTCAGGTGATGCATATGAGAACAAGCCCGGGGCCAGAGTGGCTGGAGCAGAGCAGGCGAGGTGAGTGGGAGAGATGAAATTGCGGCCATGGTGGGGGTGGGGAGGGCGCTGGGGGCTGGCGCCAGCTCACATATAAGCACGTAGACAATGTAACGACTCAGGGTGGAATGGGACATCATTAGAGGGTTTTGGGGGTGGGGGGTGACCTGACTCGTGTAAGTTTAAAAGGCCCCCTGGGCTGCGTGTTGAGAAGAGACCGCGGTGGGGTAAAGGCAGGGTCTCAGTGTGCATGAGACTTGCCTAGTTTTAGCACTCGAAGTTCGGTGACCTGGGCTCTCCCTCAGTCCCGGGCACGGGGGTGGGGGAGGGGGGTTGGTCACCCTGGTAAAAGAGAAGCAGCCAGACCCGTGGGGGGCTGTTGCCATCCTCCCGTGAGAGGAGATGGAGGCTCACTGGGGCGATAGAAGCAGGGGTGGGTGGAGAGGGTCTGATTCTGCACAAGACTTGCTGGCAGATGGTGGAGGTGACAGAAGGACCGTGGGGTGACTCCAAGATTTTTGTCTCAGCAGCTGTGAGGACCGAGTTGTCCCTGGCTGAGGTGCAGGAGGAGGGGGTGGCCTTTTGATTAGGGACGTGTCCCGTTGGGGGTGCCTGTTAAGGATTTCCATGCGGTGGAAGAGGAGTCTGGGCGGGCTGGACCTGGAATTTTCCTTAGGATCCTAGGTTGCCCTTTCCTGGAGTCCTTGGATGGGACCTTACAGGTGACCTGACACCCTTTCTGTAGCTGCAGAAACTGAGGCTGAAAGGCGGGGCTGCTGGCTCGGGGGAGCTCAGTTCTCCCAGGCTGGAGCCTCTAGGCGCTCCCCTGGTCAGTGCACATCCTCAGACACCGCCCAGGAGCAGCTGGGAACCCTGGCAAAGCGCTCTGCTGGCGCGGGTCGCATCCCAGAGGCCAGTGAGGAGGAGCACGGGGCCTGGAACAGGACCCCAGAGCAAGACGCCTGAGAGGGACTTGCTCCAAAACCTCTGACCCAAAGGAGGAAGTATGGCTGGGACGAGCCCTGACAGTGTGTCATTCCCTGTGAGGCCAGCCTGCCTGGGAGAGGTTGAGTGGCAGTCCTCCTTCAACCCTGGAGGAGGCCGACCCCAGGCCCCGCTGGGGCACTCCGGGCCCTGCCGGTCTGACTGGAGGGCGGGAATGGTTGAATCTCCCACTCTCTTGCTCTTTCACTTAAAAAAAAAAAATTTTTTTTTTAATGTTTATTTGAGAGAGAGCGAGCGAGCATGCGTGGGGGAGGGACAGAGAGAGAGGGAGACACAGAATCAGAAACAGGCTCCAGGCTCTGAGTGCTCAGCACAGAACCCAACGCGGGGCTCGAACTCATGGACTGAGAGATCATGACCTGAACTAAAGTCGGATGTTTAACCAACTGAGCCACCCAGGTGCCCTTCTTTCACTTTTAAGTATGCTTTCTTGGAAATCCAAATGCCGGTGGGCACCCCCCAGCCCAGAGTCCTAGCGGCTAAAAAGGATCTCCCGCCCCACAAAGACACGAAGATGTTCATTGCAGCATTGTTTATGGTAACAAAAAACGCTGACAGCAGTAACGGAATAGCTAAAGAGATTGTGGTAAAACCACCCTGCGGAAAAGTTTCAAGGCAACACAGCAAAACCGAGAACAATAGGGATATTTACTAGGTACTTATCATGTACCAGGCACTGCTGAAATTTTTGCATGATATCCGCAGGACAGCCTTGACAGGTAGGGATTACCAAGGTCACTGAGCCTCAGACGTTAAATGACTCATCCAAGGTTACCAAGTAACATTAGAGCCAAGAAGAACTAATATTTAGGAGGAGCCGGGCTGAAGCTAGTTGCTTGATTATCAGCTGTCCTTTCAAAACCCACTTGAAAAATCAAAGAAAAACCTCATTTGGGGGCGCCTGGGTGGCTCAGTCGGTTAAGCGTCCAACTTCGGCTCAGGTCATGATCTCACGGTTCGTGGGTTTGAGCCCCACGTCGGGCCCTGTGCTGCCAGCTCAGAGCCTGGAGCCTGTTTTGGATTCTGTATCTCCCTCTCTCTCTCACCCTCCCCTGTTCACGCTGTCTTTCTCAGAAATGAATAAAACATTAAAAAAAAAAAGAAAAAGAAAAACCTCATTTGGTTTTTATAGACCTTATAATGCAGGTACTATTCCCAATATACCCATTTCGCAGATGAGGAAAATAAGACTCAGAGGAGGCTCAACACTTGTCCAAGGTCGCACAGCTAGGAAGTGACATGACCAAGTCCATACTCAGTTGCCTTACACAGGATGACCTTGAAAGGGTCCTCTTGGAATGGTGAGCTGCATACGTACTATTTTTTTCTCTTTTCTTCAAACTTTCTGGAATGCATACATCTATACCTTAAAAAACAAAATTACATTTTATTTTCTTTTTTAAGTTTATTTATTTATTTTGAGAGACAGAGACAGCATGAATGGGGAGGGGGCAGAGAGAGAGAGGGAAACAGAGAATCCCAGGCAGGCTCTGCACTGCCAGAGCAGGACCAGCCCACAAAACTGTGAGATCATGACCTGAGCCGATTCCAAGAGTCACATGGTTAACCGACTGAGCCACCCAGCGTCCCCAAAATCAAATTTTAAAAGAATTCCACAGTACCTGGAGGTCTTTCCTGAAGTGCAGGAGAACTTTGAGACACCCAGTCAGAGAGCAATCATACCTGCTCTGTCTTGAACTGTGGGCTTTCTACTTCCACCTTCCTTAGCGAAGAGCTGGGGTGGGGTGCCTGCACGTGGCTCCATCTCCTCCTACGTAGCCCCCGTGCAGCATTGCGTCATCGTTCAGCTTCATATTTTAAAAAATAAATGGTAGAGAGACTCTTATTTTTATTTTATTTACTTTTTATTTTATTGTATTTTTTTTATTTCTAGGAGAGAGAGAGAGAGAGAGAGAGACAGCGTGAGCAGGGGAGGGTCAGAGAGAGAGGGAGTTACAGACTCTGAAACAGGCTCCAGGCTCTGAGTTGGCAGTCAGCACAGAGCCCAACGCGGGGCTCGAACCCACGAACCGCGAGATCATGACCTAAGCGAAAGTTGGACGCTTAACCGACTAAGCCACCCAGGCACCCCTACTTTTTATTTTAGAGACAGAGTGAGTGAGTGCGGAAGAGGGCCAAAGGGAGAGAGAAGGGGAGAGAGAGAATCGTAACCAGGCTCAGCACAGAGCCCCATGTGGGACTCGATCCCATGACCCTGGGATCATGACCTAAGCCGAAATCAAGAGTTGGATGCTTGACCGACTGAGCCACCCAGACACCCCTATCCTTCAGCTTCTAATTGCAGAGAAACAGTCTCTTTCAGTGTGGCTTAGCATAGTAGGAAAATAGTTCCCTCAAGAAGAAGGCTGGGGGGCTGTCCTGAAATGAGAGCAATCTATGTACTTAACACAAGAGGTCATAATATTGGATTTAACAAGGGAACCCTCTGTGTTTGGTGGGCCTCGGTTTACAGAGGAGGGATTATAACTGAAATATTTGGGGTTGATGCTTAGGGTCAAAAGCAAAGGTCTAAAACGGGACCACGATCATCTTGTCGTGTGGGTTATGCACAATAATAATAGCGTTAGAACCGGCAGGGCCTTCGGATAACCTTTGCACAATACTCTCACCTTACACCTGAGGAAACAGAGGTTCCAGAAGAGAAGAAAAACTGAGGCCTGGGGGGGCAGAGTGGCCCAGGGAATAAGCACAGGCTGGCTTGTCCGCCACGTGGCCAGGTGCTCCATGTGAGATCACTTCTTTCATCCACACACCTACCCCTTTACTACTGGCACTGTTATTCCCATTTTACAGATGAGGAGACTGAGGCTTGCCCGGGGAAATCTCTTGTTCAAGTTCCCATTGCAGTGTGGAGGAGCCAAGATTCAAAACAAGATTTCCCTGATTCCAAATTTCATGCCTGTCTTTTCAAATACAACCCACTGCCTTAAGCCAGAAGACCTGGGTCCTACTTTAACATCTTTGTGACCTTGAGCCTCCATTTCATGATCTAAAAAATAGGGATAAAGTAGAGGACAGATTAAATACGATAGTTAAGTGAGATCATGCACATACATTGAAATGTGCTGTGAAAGTTTAAGGGACCATTAAACAAAATATCCAAGGTGACACTGCTAGCGAGGGACAGAGCAAAGTGCATTGCTGATCATTTCTGTTCTGACACGATGTGAATCACAGATCTGCCACTAGCTAGCTCACTTTCCCCATCTGTAAAATGGTGCAATAATAGAATATATTTCATCATTTTGTCATGAGTAGAGTGCATGGGCAGAGGGCTTGGTACAGCGTCTGGCCTTCAGTAAGTGCTCAAC